GCGCTCAGAGGTGCCTTTGTGACTTGGGGGGTGTGGCTTAGGGCCTGTAGCATCCCTCCCTGGTCTCAGTTCCCCTCTGGGCATCCAGGGAGATGCCTATGGTGACATCTGTTGGCCTTGTTAGGGGCAAGGCTGGAGCTGGGTCTGGGGCTCCCCACTCTTGTTCCTATGCATGGCTCATGTTCTGGCAGCCCTTCCCACCTTAGTCTGAATTACTCTCCTCCTGAGAGGAGGTCTGGCAGTCTGCCGGGACTCAGTCAGGTTGCACTCACCAGGACTTTGGCACGGACGGAGAACTCTCCAGAGAACGGAGGCTGTGTCATTTCCTCCTTTCAGCCGGGAGGACATGGGACAGGGGCTGGCAAGGTAGCCAGACCATTACTCAGGCCAAGTTCATCTTCCTGCCCCCAGCTGAGCCAGAGGTTGTGCAGTGGCCAGCCATTGGTTTCTTCCTGACCCCACCAGGGGGGCAGTTTACCCAGCCTGTTTACCTGTCCCGTTGCCAAGACTCCCAAGTGGCCAGAGGGGTCTGCCTCCAGCCAGTCTCTATTCCTACCTCTGGCTCCCCGTCCTCCCCACCCCCCTGGGCCTGGATACTCCCATTGACGGCAGCCATGTAAAGAAACATTTCCTTGAATTCTCTCCCTGTCCTGACCTTCTGCTCTGGTCTCCCTTCCCCTGCTTGCCCCACCTTCCTCCTTTGGAGCCTTCGTCCAGACAGGCCTGATGGTGGGCAGAGCAGGCCGCTGCCTGCAGAGCAGATGGGGTGGGAGGAAGGGTGTATCTCTCCCTGAACACAGCGCGAGCTCAGGTCTCCTGACTCCCAGCTCATGTTTTCCCCACTTCACTAGTCTTTTACATCCTAGCAGTCATTTCTGCCTTAGTACGAATGAGTTTGTCAGGAAGAAGGGAGAGAAAGCATGAGTGGTTCCAGGCAGCCAAATGTGCAGGGGAGAGGACGCTGCTGGCCACTGATCACAAGACAAGGAAGCAGAGGGCTCTGCAGACCACCGTCCGAGAGCACTGGATCCTCCGTCGGTGCCCCTCCCTCCAGAGCTGGGGTCTGGAAGGCAGAGTGGTTAAGAAATGAGACTGAGCAGTCAGACTGTGAGTTTTGAATCCCAGCTCTGCCACCTGCAAGTTTTATGATCCTGGGCAGGTCTCTCTGAGCTCCAATTTCTGAGAGGAGTAACAGTACTTACTATCTATCTCTGGGGATTTTTGCAAGGATTGAAAAAGATGAGTATTAAGTGTGTTGCACAGCACACCTGGGCTGTAGCGAGGGCTTGGTAATGACCGCAGCCATTGTGACCTCTTTCTCAGGGCTTTCTGTCCCCCTCCCCCACTTAGGGATTGAACCCTGGCGGACCCTGGTCTCCTGCCTCTCGCCTCGCCTTGGGCAGCTCTTCCTCGCACCTGCCCTCACCCCCTCCTCTCCTGAAGGCCTGTCTTCAGAGCCCCTGGTCCGTTGTCCAGGCTGGGTCCTTCAAGGGCCAGCAGCCCAGCCTGGCCCTGCAGAGATTCAGAGACGAGGGAGGAGGTGCTGTGGCTTGCACAGGTGCAGGCTGTAGCCAGCCAGGTTGAAGGCTCAGCAAGGTGCCCGTCCCCTGTAGCCCTTGACCACCTCCTGCCTTTCTGACACCACAGAGCACAATCTTGGACCCACTGGCTGGGGCGTTGCCAGGGGTGGCAGTTCCCTAGCCTGAGGACTTTTGGGTGGAACCGTCTCCCCTGGTGCCCTGCATTGCAGGACTCCGGGGTGCCCACAGTTGACCCAGCCCCATTCCTTCAGCTTTGTTCATGCAGGGTGGCAAAAACCAGCTAGGTTGCTAGCTGGGTCGGCTTCAAGCCTCCTGCTGAATTCCTTTTCCATGGAGTCACTGCAGGCTGGGGTAGAGGGCAGAGCTTCCTCAGAGGCAGGCTCTCACCTCCCGGCCTCTTCGGTCACGTTCCTGCTGTCCCAGAGCGGCGGCGCGGGGGAGGCTCCCAGTCTAGCTACCAGGCCCTGGCCCGCCACCCTTTCTGCAACCCTTTCGCTCTCTGGGCCTCCCAGGCCCCCGCCAGCTTATCTCCAAGGGCCGACACGCTCTGCCATTTGAGAATTTCTAAACCCCTGGCCTTTAGAACCAGCGTGGGAATAGGATTGAAGCAGAGTAGTGAGGGGCAAATAAAACCCATAAAAGTGCAGGGTCGTTCAGAGTTCTGGATTACGAGCCTTGCACTGTGGGAACTCGCTAGCCAGAAAGTTCGGTGCCCTCTGGAGTCACACGGAGCCAGGGGTGAGCCAGGTCCACTGCCTTCTGGCTCTGTGGCCTTGGGCAGCTGACTTCGCCTCTCTGAACCTTGGTTTTCTCATCACTAAAGAGCGGACTCTAATAGTTTGTGCTTCACAGGGTTGCCGTGGGAATTAAACGAGCCAGCGCGTGGAAAGCACATGGCTAGGTGCACAGAAAAGCCCCGCCAGTGTCAGCTGCGAGGGCTGCGCTTGTGCCCTAAGAACCATGGGTGGGACTGGGGATGTAACTCCTGACCCTGCCACATTGGGGATGTGCTTTGCGTCCGGGAATGTCCGCAGGGCGGTCAGGTTGGAAAGAGGAAGCTCTTTCTCTGGGTGGCATCTGGGGGCAGAGGTTAGTGTAAGGAACAGCTTTATGGCCGAGGACTCTTCATTAGTGGAAGGCCCCCTCTTCAGGGTAGTGAGCTCCCTGCCCACTGAGTATGTAAACAAAGGCTTGAATCCTCAAAGGCATCGTTTTAGGGATGCAGGAACTGGACCCGGTGACAGCCATCTCTGAGTCGCTGAGGTTCTGTAATTTGGGGCACTAATGCCTGCTCAAGGCCCTCCTAATCCGCCCCCAGGAGTAGCCTGGCCAAGCCCCCAAACGGCCACCTTTTATTGGTGGGGTGACCCAGGCAGGGGAGGAGCCCTACCAGGAGGGAGCAGGTGCCAGGAGCACATGGGATAGGCTGTGTGCTCTCACTGTGCCGGACAGGTGGGCACGGGTGTTGAGGGGGCAGGTCTGATGGGACGAGGGAAGAAGGAAGTTGAGGGACAGACAGCCTGGGGCCGCTGGGCCCGGTCCCAGAGAAACTGCCGCCTGCAGCCTTTCTGCTCTGCGTGGCCTCCATGCTGACCCTGGTGGGAGCTCTGCCCTGCACCACGCTCTGAACCTCAGTTTCTCCATCAGTAAAATGGGGGGGGGGGTGAAATCCCTCCTCTATAAGGGCCTTTCTAGCTCAGACAGTCTATGAATTCCAAGCCTCCCTGGCAGGATGCCTAGAAAACTGTCCCTGGACGCTCACTCGGCATGTCACGGCCAGTGCTAATGAGGGGAAGGGAGGAGGAAGGGCAAGGTCAGGTTCCTCTAGCACTAATTAGCTTCCCGCAGTGGGAGCAGGGGTGGGGGAGGGATTTTCTCGGCCACGGAGTGAGCGGCCAGCCCTGACCACAGCCCAGCCCATCCACCTGTCTGCCAGTCCATGGACTCATGCACGCATTGGTGCGGTTACGGTCCGATAGCATAAACTGAGCACCGGCTGTGCGCCGCAGTGAACTTACTGAAGAATAGGGGTCCGACCCCAGCCTGCTCCCTGACCTCAGGCCCCTGCCTCCAGCCCCAGACTGAACCCCAAGCCCTACTGACTGTGTTTCCCTTACATCCCAAGTGGACCTTTTCAAACAAGTATGGGCTGTGGACCCAGAGAGAACTGGTTCTGACCCAGCTTTGCCACCCTTTGCAGGGTGACTTTGGGTGAGTTATTCGCAAGTCTCTGGACCTTATTTTCTGCTTCTGTAAAACAGGGGCGAGTAATGCTTGTCTCCTAGTGTTCTTGTGAGGATGAAATGAAATAGTGCAATGTTCTAGTATAGTTGCTACTGAAATTAGCCCAGTTTATTACTTTGATGATATTAAAGTATGAGAATTTTAAAATGGGCGTTTACATAAAAGTGGGAAGAAACTCTGCAAGGACGTAGAGGAAACTAGTGACAGTTGTGACGTGATGGGTGGTGTGGCTGCTCCGAGGTGGAGGGACATTTTCACCGCAATTTTTTTTGTCTTTGAACACCATATACTTTTTTATGTTTTTAATTTTTTTAGATCATGTGACTGCATTGCCTATTCTTAAAAGAGAAGTGTTAGTGTTCATGTTATCAAAAGACTATACTCTGCATTTGAAGGTGTCAAGTGTCCTAGGAAAGGCACCTAGAAAACGCCCTGGGGGTTCACGCATACGCATGGTCATGCTCGCCAAGTGCCCCCTTGATGCCAGGCTCTCTTCCGGGGGCCAGGGTGAGAGCGCCGAACACATCGAGCAAGGTCATTGCCCTCTTAGAGCTTATGTTCAAGGCTGCGGGGGGACAGACGGCAAACAGGGAAACAGGTGAAGAAGATAATTCTGAATTGTGTTGAGTGTTATGAAGGAAATGAAACAAAGAGATGGGATAGGAAAGGGGAGGGCGGATGACAGAGGAAGGCCCTTCCAGAAAGGTGACATTCAAGCAAGTTCTAAATAGCAAGAAGGAAGCAACCTGGAATGCTACCTGGGAAAGATCGTTCTAAGCAGCGGGAACAGCATGTGCAAAGGCCCCGGGGCAGGAGCAAACTTGGGCCTTTCATGAGACAGAAAGAGAGCCAGCAGGGCAGAGCCTAGTAAGAGAGGAGAAGGTAGCTGAGCTGGGGACGTAGTGGGTCCTGGACTACTAGGGTGAGGTGTTCTCCCTCAGTTTGGTAAAGTGCTATGGCAGCAAATGAGGGGCCAGTTAATCCTGAGACAGTAATCAGGGAAGGTTTTACCCAGGTGTTGGCATTTGGGTTGGGCCGCGATGGCTGGGCCAGGGATCTTTATGAAGAGAGGGGACTCTAGGAAGCAGTTGAGCAAAGATCAAACACGGGAGGAAAAGATCATCTGTAGGAGGGTCATGGGTGACCATCTGTCTGTCTGGGTACTGCTGCGACACGGCATCCCCACTGCTAACCTCGCCTCTGTCCCCCCTGCAGCATTGGGCCGGAGCACCAGCCTCACTGAGAAGGATCTGAAAGAGGCCAAGGCGCGGAGCCAGCAGATCGCAGCTCAGCTGACCACCCCACCCAGCTCCAACTCACGAGGCGTCCAGCTCTTCAACAGGCGCCGGCAGAGGGTGAACGAGTTCACCTTGGAGAGCCACGGCCGGAGGGGACAGAAGCCCAGCCAGGAGTCCCTCAGAGTGCCCCCTGCCAGCCCCACAGGCCATGCCCCAGAGCTTAGCCTGAATCCCACCTCACTCCCCGAGCCAGGCCCCCCAAGGAACCCCAACGACCAGAGCCTTGACGTAGGGGTCCCTGGTCACAGCATGGAGGGGTGCTCAGAGGAAGCCAGCTTGCTGCGGCACCTGGAGAAGGTGGCCAGTGAGGAGGAAGAGGTACCACTGGTGGTTTATTTAAAGGAGAACGCAGCCCTGCTGACGGCCAACGGGCTCCACCTGTCCCAGAACCGAGAAACCCAGAAGAGCCCACCAACTCCGCCCCCAGCTGAGGTCCACAGCCCAGCCGTCGATGCCAACCAGAACCTTGCCTCACCCAGTGCCACACTCATCACACCAGCTTCTAACAGCAACCACAGCCTGCCAGCCCCAGATGTCAATCAGAACCCACCGGCCACTGTCACCCCTCAGGGCCGGCCGCTTTCTAGCATCCAACAGAATTCTTCTGAGGCACAACTCCCACCGAATGGCACAGGGCCAGATGCTAAAGCCAGTGCCCCGTGCGCGGGCGGGCAGCCCCCGGAGCTGGCCACAGAGGTGAGATCCAGCACACTCCTCATCGATAAGGTATCAGCTCCAGCTACCGCCACCAGCACCTTCCCCAGGGAAGCCGCTCCCATGTCCAGCTCCGGGCCCCCCGCCCCGGATTTGATGTCCAGCTCCCTGCTCATCGATGTCCAGCCCAGCGCCCCTGCGGTGTCAGCAGAACAAGAGACGCCTGGGCGGGCAGCTGCCACCACACCCACCAAGCTGTACAGCGAGGTCCACTTCACGCTGGCCAAGCCCCCCTCTGTGGTCAACAGGACGGCCAGGCCCTTTGGGATCCAGGCAGCAGGGAGCGCCAGCCAGATGGAGCAGAGCCCCATGGTAGAGAGACGACATCTCGGGGGGAAGGCCCCAGCTCCCCAGTCCTCCAGCATGGCCGACAGGAGTCCTCGGCCACAGAGACATGTAACGTCTCACAGCCCCATGGTGGAGAGGAGGCCCATGGCACAGCGAAGCCCTGCCCTGGAGAGACGCCCCTTCGGGAACTTCACCCCGCCCCCCACTTATGCTGAGACCTTGTCCACGGCTCCCCTGGCTTCCCGTGTTAGGTCTCCCCCCTCTTACTCTGCCCTGTACCCCAGCTCCGACCCCAAGCCTTCCCATCTGAAGGGCCAGGGGGCTCCCACCAGCAAGACAGGAATTTTGGAGGAGTCTATGGCCCGAAGGGGCAGCCGGAAGTCCATGTTCACCTTTGTGGAGAAGCCCAAGGTGACTCCGAATCCAGACCTGCTGGACCTGGTACAGACGGCTGACGAGAAGCGGAGGCAGAGGGACCAGGGGGAGGCTGGCGGGGAGGAGGAGCCCTTCGCGTTGGGGGCCGAGGCCTCGAACTTCCAGCAGGAGCCAGCACCCAGGGACAGGGACAGCCCCACCGGGGCCGAGAACGTCCTTCCCGAGTGGGCCTCATGTCTCAAGTCCCCACGCATCCAGGCCAAGCCAAAGCCCAAACCCAACCAGAACCTGTCTGAGGCCTCCGGGAAAGGGGCTGAGCTCTATGCCCGCCGCCAGTCCCGCATGGAGAAGTATGTCATCGAGTCTTCGGGCCACACCGAACTGGCCCGCTGCCCTTCACCCACGATGTCCCTGCCTTCATCCTGGAAGTACTCCTCAGGCAGTCTCCGAGTGGCATCCCGAAGTCCAGCTCGGACCCCACCTGCCTCCCTCTATCATGGCTACCTGCCTGAGAACGGGGTCCTGCGCCCGGAGCCCACCAAGCAGTCGCAGCCGCCCTACCAGCTGCGGCCCTCCCTCTTTGTCCTCTCTCCCATCAAGGAACCTACCAAGGCCTCGCCAAGAGCCGCCTCGCCGGCCAAGCCAAGCTCCCTGGACCTGGCGCCCAGCCTGCCCAAGGCGACCCTCTCTCGGTCACCCGCCCTGCCTCGGCCCTCCCGCTCCTCGCCAGGCCTCTACACAGCCCCTGGCCAGGACGGCCTCCAGCCCACTGCCGTGAGCCCTACCTACAGCAGCGACATCTCCCCCGTGTCTCCCTCCAGGGCCTGGTCTCCCCGAGCCAAGCAGGCGCCCAGGCCCTCCTTCTCCACCCGGAATGTCGGGATCGAGGCTCAGGTGTGGAAGCCTTCCTTCTGCTTCAAGTAACAGACCCCGCAGGGGTCCCACTGCGTGCCAAGGCCCCCTCTCTGAGGGCAGGATGGAAAGCAGATGTGGCAGGAAGTGGCCCCGGGCTGAGAGTCAGGAGTATGCAGGGCTCGAGGGCTGATGCTGCTACCAGCTAGCTTTGTGACGTTGGGCAAGTCACCTCCCCTGAGTTGCAGATGCCGTCCCCTGCCGTGCGGGTGGTTGGACTCCATGTCAGAGGGATATGAAGTCTGCTGCTGGCGGGGAGGAGGGTCCTGGAGAGAGAACGTCCGAGGCAGGCCTGACCAAGGCTGGGGGCTTCCTCTGGCCTTTGTGAGCTAATGGGGTGCCAGCGTCTTGCTGGGGAATGGCCTAGAAGGGGGCACCAACAGGGGCTTCTGGAGCAAACAGAACCTGCCTGTGCCTGCGGAACAGCCAGCCAAGGGGCTGACTCCTCTGCGGCCCCAGTGGGGCCACCCTCGTGGGGCCCGAGCTCCCGGCACCTTTCTGCCTGTCGCTGGATTCTCGCCTCCACGGGTCTGTCTCTTCCACCTCTGCCTTCTGGACGCCGTTTCCTCTGCGCTGCTTCAGAAAGCTTTGCCTCGGCCTCCACGCTCTCTTCTGCTGGATGAAGACTTAGCCCGCCCCTGCTGTCTGATGCTTTTCTTCCTGCCCTTCTGCTCAGCTGCCCCCATGCCTTCTCCAAATACCTGGCTCCGCTTTAGGGACAGCTAAAGCAGTTAGTTCGCCCAGACCTCTGCCCCGGTCCCACCAGGCTTGCCCTTGCTGTTCTGGGTTGGGGGAGGCCCCGGGGGGTCCCTGAGAGACGGAGAGCCGCGTAGAGGGATGTGCAGGCGTGGGTGTGCAGCGAGGAGACCGGCCCCTGGTCATGCGTCGGTTGGCTATTTTCTCTTCAACCAAGATCTGCCAACGGAAAGCAGCCACCTGGGCACAGTGGAAGGGGGAGAGGCAGTGGGGGAGGGTTCTAGTCCCGTCTCCGCCTCTTATTTGCTGTGTGACTTTGGCCAAGTCACTTCCCCTTTCTGGGCCTGTTTTCTCACTTATACGATGGGGGTCCTGTGGGCTGTGACTATGCGGGAGGATTGAGAGGAGAGGCTGGTGCTTTTGGAGAAGGCCTTGTACGTGATGGCAGTCCCCCGGGAAGAGAGGGGAAAGGACAGGGGCACTTGCTGTAGGACGGATGGAGATTAGCCGTCTGCAAGGGGGGTCTGGGGAGGGTGTGGTCGGAGGAGCCAGGGGAGCAGAGGCCTCGGCTGGGATGGTGCAGGGGCAGGGTTGCCTGGAGACAGGGAGTGTGGCAAGGACTGGGGCCGGAGCACAGCTGCTCAGTGAGATGGGCCAGAGGAGACCTTCAGGTTTTGAGGAAGAGGCTGGGAAGTAAGCAGTTGATCCCATGTATCTCTTTGGGTCTTAGTTTCCCCATTCATAGTGCAGTGAGGGTGTTGAGCCAGGTAGTCTGCGAGCTCACCACCTGTGACAGCTCTGGTGTGTTACAGCCCCCCAAAACCAGGCTTCGTGGGGGTTGAGAGAATCCAGACGCAAGAGGCAGAATTCAGATGGAAGCTTCCCAAGGCTGGGGCCTGAGCACCACCCACTTTCTCTTTCCCAGCCCTATTTCTGGGCTCCCCAGTGGGGAAAGGGGTGGTGGAGGCGGTGCCCGTGCTGGGCTGAGCCTGCAGTTTTCCTGAGCCCTGGGCTCATCTCCATGGGAACACGGGGTGCCTTCCCAGTGAGTTCATTCTGCCCAGAATGCGGGGGCTTGTAGGAAGGAGTCATGAGTGAGCTCAGCAACTTCATGCCAGCCCCTTCCCAGGACAGAGTGAAGCCCCTTCCCCTAGACCCCTGTTCTCTTCAACTCCTGAGGGCCAGTGTGGAAGAGCCCACCTTCCATCCTGCAGCGCCTGCGGCCAGGCTGGCCGAGCTCTTCCCCCAACTTTGTTTTCTCTCCTGTTCTCAATATACTCTGCCTCAAACCTGCCTTGCTTCTTTCTTTCTTCCGCGCTCACTGGCTGGTGGTCACGGCTGTCTCCCTCCTCCCTGATTCTGGCCTGGGAAGGGGGCGGGACGGCTCAGTCACTGTGTGTGGACGCATGGGGTGTCTCCCGTACTGCGTGCATCTGCTGTGTGTCTGGATCCCTCATGGGGGCAGACGTGTGTGCTGGCTTGGAAGTGAGGTGCCCTCTCTCTTCCCTGGAAACCAGAATCCTGTGGAAAACACATTCTTCTCCTTTCTCCTTCCTTCAGAGTTTGGCCAAAAAGGCCGTAGAACAGGGCCACAACCTCTTACAGTTCAGGTTTGTTGAATTCTTTAAAGGTGGGGTTTAAATGTCGTTAGCCAGAACACACACTCTCAGGTTCCCTGAGGTCCCCTCATCCTGTCCCTGCTACCTAAATCTAGCCATTTCCCGCATTCGTCACCGACTGCCTCCAGAAAACACTGAGTTCCTGCCCCAGGTGGAGAGGAACAAACTGCCAGCAAGAGTCAGAACTAGATTCTAGTTCCAGATCTGCACCTGACTCCTTGTGTGACCTTAGACAACCCCTTCCCACCTGTAGGCCTCAGTTCCCCCTTCCATGCAATGAAAGGACTACAGAAGGCAGCCTGGGAGCTAGCTCTGTCTGGTCTCTACCAGTTCCTGTCTGACTCTGCTCTCTTCATGCCTTCGCCCCACACGTGTGCCCTGCTTTGAGGCTGGAGCTGGGTGCAGTGGGTGAACTTTCTAAATTTTCACCCATGTGTATTTCAAAGGAGTTTTCGTGTACCCTGGTACATTGAGATCTTTGCCAGAAAATGAACAGCTCTGATTTCCCACCGCCTTTTTGTACTGTGCACCCTCCCCCTGACCCCCCTCCCCTCCACCCCCCACACACACAGAGTCAATATCCAGCCATAGCAGTTCCGATGAGGTCAGGCTCTGGCCCGCCTCCAAATGATGAGGAGCCGCTCACCACGGCCCATAACATTCCAATCCAGGTTGGAGCAGTCAGTCCTGTTGCTCCTTCCACCTGCTGGCCCTAGCCTTTCCCTTGTGGCCACCAAAGGCAGAGACAACCAACCCTTAGAGATTTCAGACAGTTAACACAGCACCCCCTGCCTCAGCCTACTTTTCTGGCTGAAAAGCCCAGGTTGCTCGGCCTCAATGCATGTTGATGGGCTTTGATCACGAACTCTTGGCCCTACTTCCTTCAGCTGTGCTGATCACAAGCTTCCTGGGATGTCACACAGACAGAGCAGCTCCTGGTGTCTCTGGCTCACATATATACAACTCTGACCTTGGTGGGGTAAAGGGGTGGATCCCATACCAAGCTTGAACTTTCCTACTTGATGATTGGGGTCTTGGGTCACTCCAGCATTACCATCATGTGAAAAACTCCTGTACAACATTTCTCTTCAGGTTAATGGGCTCAAATTCCCAGTCTGTACTCATCGGGCAGCTGCTACCTTGGAGAAAGCATATACTCTGCCTATGGCTTCCTTTTGATTGGGAGAAATTAGATTCTGACTGGATGAGAGGCTGAATGGCTTGGCTGTGGCTAACTACAGACTGGATTAGAGAACGGATGTTACGAATGGTTCTACATTTTGATTGGGTGGGAGGCCCTGAAAGGACTGGTTAGTTTGACTGGTGGTGAATTTGGATTGGACTAAAGGCTGAGTGGACTGCTTTCTTGCTGGAATCTGATTGGATGAACCGTTGGATGGTTTAGCAGATACATGCTAGGCATGGATCCCCACTCCCTGCACTCTTTGTACCAGTTCAAACTGTTTAAGTGTGACGTATCCTTTAAGCAGTAAATAGTCTCTCTCTCTCTCTCACACACACACACACACACACACACACACACACACACATATTTTCTGGTAGGGAGAACATGCGAGATAGTTATTTACACCTCTGAACATCATCTTCATCATTGTAAAGTGGGCGCTATAATGCCAGCTACCTCACCAGTCTATTGTGAGAATCTGATGAGAGACAAAGTATGAGACTGAACCTTGTAGGCTGGCAAGTCTCTTAGCAGATAAGAAACAAATGTGATAGTGTATCACAGAGCAGTGCTTTATAACCTCAAAGACGTCCACACTCCCCACCCAGGGCTGCCAAGAAGTCTGGGGAGGGCAATGTGCTGCCCAGGGAGGGATGACCCAACTTTCCTTTGTGTTTCCACCTGTGAGAACTTCCTCCCGGGTCAAGGCATCCAAGGAAAAATGAGAAGGCGACCATGGCAACATGGCAATGTGGTTGGGGCTGCAAGTGCCTTTGTCTAAGCCCAACCTTAAGAATAATGATCAATATTTTTGTTTAAAACTTTTGAAAAGATAACACATCCATGTGGTTCAAAACCTAAACTTACATAAAAAGTAATACATTAAGAGCCTTATTCCCACCCTGTGACTGTATACTTTGCCTGGTTCACTCCATTTCCTAAGGGACCACTTTGGTTAGTTTCTTGTGACTCTTTCCAGTATTTCTTTGTGATAACTGACATCTAGTGAGCACTTTCTTCCTTCCAGGGAATCTTCTAATACACGGAATAGTCTTTTACATTAGTTACCTCATTTCATTCCCATAACAACCCTATGTGTTACGTGCTGGTATTAAACCCCATTTTACAGAAGAGGAAAATGAAGTCCAGAGGTTTCCATTTGCTTCTGCTGTTGAAGCAGCCTGCCCAGGTTCATTCAGAAAGCAAAGGGGTCTGTCTCCAAAGCGTGAGTTCTTAACCACCAATCATCTGCCTCCCTGTTAAGCACAGGAGCAGGCAGCATGGGCTTTTTCAAGCATCTGAGCCGAGAGTGGGGACACGTTTTATTGCAGGCACTATCCGACTTTTGGTCGCTGGCTTCCCTGACTGTACAATGGACAAATCAAACTCGATCCTTCCGAAATCCCGGTATGGAGGACCCCAACACTAATGCTTGCCCCCACCGTCTCTGCTCTCTCCACAGGACCGCCGTGAGAGCCTGCCCACCTCCCCGCCTTGGACGCCGGGCACGTCCCGGCCCCCCAGCAGCCTGGACGGCTGGGTGAGCCCGCGGCCGTGGGAACCCGGCCGCGGGAGCAGCATGAGCAGCCCCCCGCCGCTGCCGCCGCCGCCTCCCATGTCCCCTTCGTGGAGCGAGCGCTCGGTATCCCCGCAACGACCTGAGACCGAGGTGCGGCCCCCCAGCCGCCAGCTGCAGGCTCTCCTGGCGCGAAATATAATCAACGCGGCCCGGCGCAAGAGCGCCTCCCCGCGGCCGCCGGGCGCCGAGAGCCTGCGGCCCTTCTCCCCGCCTAAGGCACCCCCTCCGCCGCCGCCGCCCCCGCCCCCGCCGCCACGCATGCGCTCGCCGCAACCTGCTCGCCCCGGCCCGGCAGCCACCCCCGGGGCCACGTTCGCCCCGATCCCACGGAGCCCGCTGCTGGCGGGGCCCTCGCCCTGCGCCAGCCCCCGCAGCCCGCTGCCCGCACCCTCCAGGCCCTTCCCCTATCGCCGGTCGCCCACGGACTCCGACGTGTCCCTCGACTCTGAGGACTCCGGGGCGAAGTCGCCCGGCATCCTCGGCTACAACATCTGTCCCCGCGGGTGGAACGGGAGCCTGAGGCTCAAGCGTGGCAGCCTCCCCGCCGAGGCCTCCTGCACCACCTAAAGCTTCCCCTGCCCCCAACCCATCCCCCACCCCGGGAGGGCTGAGCTTGAAAGAAGAGTCGTCAGGCTTGGGATACTTCAGCACCATGTCCCCAAGGCCTGTTTGGACAGCCCTAGCAATAAGGAGTTAGGGAGGAGAGCTCTGGGCTGGAGGGTTGGGTACAGATAGAGCCCGAACTCTATCATTCAGCCATTGTGTGAACCTGGACAAGACCCTTCCTCTATCTGACCCTCAGCTTTCCCATCTTTTTAATGGGTGTTTGGCCAAAGCAATCTCCGAACCTCTAAATGCTCCCTCCCATCAATACACACACACACACACACACACAGGCGCGCGCCCGCGCGCGTGCACTTTGGAAAAGGCAGGGTGTTGTGTACATGAACCCCTGCACTTGCTGCATCCCAATGTTCCATACTCCTCCCTGCCTTCCTGGCTCTGCTCTCCGGAGTCTGGCAAATGAGGGGTGTGTTCAAAAGATCCTAGGCCCACGTTCCCTGTCCAGGTCCTGGCTTGACCATTCGCCTTCCTGGCTCCAAGTCCCAGGCAGTAGCAGCTGTTTTCCATCCCTGCTCAGACAAGCTCTATTTTTACCACGGTGACCTTTAGAGAGGTCTCCCAGGCCAGCTCAAGGTGCCCGGCTCCTCTGGAGAGAAGAGGCAGGAAGATTCCTCCTCCCAGGCCCCTCTCATACATTTCCCCTCCCCAGCTCAGACTGCCCAGGGCATCTTATCTGCAGCCAGAGAAGAGCGCTGTAAGGCAATGATTTCCCCCAAGCCCAGGACTTGGACCTCCAGGGATGCTTCAGGTGCCTCCAACTCATCTATCCCTTCTGGGCCCTTTCGTGGTAGCCCTTTCAGAGTGACGTGGAGCTTTGCGCTAGCCTGCGGCTTTACCTGATGACCCTGGGTTTGAGGTTGCCTGTGTGGAAAGAGGGCGGCAAAGAGTTCCTTGTCACAGGAGGTATGCAAGCAGTGGCCAGGGTGCATAGAGGAGATTCTAGTAGAAAATGGTTTGGCTCAGATGACCTATGAGGGTTCTTCCAGTCCTGAAATGCATTCCACGGTATTAGGAAGGGAGGGAAGTAGTGGTTCAACAGCTTCCAGAGTTGGCTGGTGGTGCCCTCTAGAGGCTCAGAATATCTGCCTGAGGATATTAAAGGCAGGGTTGCGGGGAGGGGAGGGTTATTGGAACGGGCTGAGGAGCAAAGATGTGTAGGTGAAAGGATACCAGGATGTTGCTAAAGATGAAGGACAGAGTGTGATGTGGGGTTATGGGTAGACTTACCTTAACCCAGCATTACTTGTTAGACCTGGAACCCTTAAATGAGGCTAGGAGGAGCTGGGGGTCAAGATGAGGTATAAAGATTTGGTATAAAGAAGGGACCCCAGAGGGTACCGATGGCCTAAGGACTGGGAACAAAGGCCCTATTGGTGGGAAGATGAGCAGGTGCTCCAGCTTCATCAGTGATGAGTGGCCACATTTACCAAAGTCCTCACATGCTTCAGGGCCCGTTGTTGCATGGAAGACAGACTACGTTTCAGAGAAGAGACACTGTTTCAGAGAAGCAGACACTGTTAGGTCACTGGCTGATGAAGTGGCATAGAATATCTACTTCTACCTGCATATCCACAAAGAGCCAGCAGGAGGCAGCCCTGGAAAGCGGCAGTTCTGTCTGGCTGTTCCCTCCTCTCACTGCCCTCTCCCCAGTCCTCTCCTCTAACCCACTAGAGAGTGCCTGTGTCCTGTCTCTTGCCTCCTATGGAATTCAGCTCTGGCCCTAAATAAATGCTTCCTGCAACCTTCTGCCTCCCGGGTCAATTCAGCTGTGTCTAAAGCCCTTCCCTCCTCCCCAACCGTAGGACAGTCCATGGGACTCTGGATGGATGAGAATGTTTAACACACATGGGGAGGGAGCTTGGGAAGTAGCAGCCATGAGGAGAGAAAGGGAACAACGGAAAAACTCCAAGCCACAGAAGTCACTGAGTTCAAGTCCTGGTCCTGTTGTCCACTAGCCAGCCGGGTGCCCCTGGGTAAGCCCACTCCTTCTCTAGGCCTCAGCTTCCCTACCTGCATAGTGAGTGAGCTGGGCTAGGTGATGTATCAGGGTGGTATCGCCCGGGCCTGACCAAAGGCCCTGCCACTGGAGCGCGCAGGGCCACGCCGGCCAGGGCCCGGTGCTCTGGGGCTGCTTCCTCATGGCGGGTCAGGGCTCCGCACAGGAAGAGGAGATCATGCCCAAGTCCAGACAGTCCTGGCGGGCTCAGGACTCAGACCTTTGCAGCATTCCTCTCCTGACGGGGGCATCCTCTGCCCGGAGAAGGGGGTGTGACCGCACTCCTAGGTTAGGCCAAGCCTCCCCTGGGAACATTCCTCGCCTTCCCGTCTAGAAGCGCGGGCCCCGCAGAGGCTGGGCAGAGGAACCTGAGGGGCCGGCGGTCGCAGCAGAGTCCAGCCTTCTTCCTAAGGAATTGTCAGACATATGCCCTCGGACGGACGGCGTCCTGTCACCCAGGTACAGATGCTCCCTGCCCTGGACGCAGGGCATCCCTGCTGGTCCCAGCTTTGCATGGGCCTGGTTGGTGCGCCCCTCAATCTTTTCTTCAGCTGGAATCTCCCCCCACCCCGCTGAACACAGTATCCCCCTGCCTCCTGATGATCTTAGTCCCCAGACAACTCAGACCAAGTTCATCCCACATGAATTCAGTGTCTGCCCCCACCCCCGATCCTAACCTGCTCCTCCCCCCTTGCCTTCCTTAGTCATGTAAGCCAGACACGGGATGGGCCTCTCCTCACCTCCTGCATTCAGTCTCTCACTAGGACCTGGGGATCCCCAAATCCCCCCCAAGTCCCTCTCCCCCTCCGATGCCCTCTGTCACCGCCCCGGCCAGCCACCCCCATCTGTCCTCTGCCCACAGTGAAGGCCCACCCCCAGTCTGGCTCCCTCCCCCCACTTTCCCTGTGGCAACCAGAGACATCTTAGGGAAAACGCCAGTCTGACCACTCCATTTCACCCCTTTAAACTCTTCAGTGGCTCTTTAGAAAGTGCATGTGCCTTTTGAAAAGGGCTATGATCCGGCCCGGCCCACCTGCCTGGCCTCATCTCTCAGCACTGCCCCCGCCACTCCCCCTTCTGGCTCTACTTGCTGACCCCCTACCATCCTCATACGTGACTCGGCCCTGCCTGCAATTTCTGTGCCCTCTCTCTGCCCAGTGAACTCCCACTCAGCCTTCAAGGCCCAGCTCAAATGTCTCCTCCTCTGGGAAGTCTTCCCCACCCCCAGGCCAAGCTGGTGGCACCCTCCCCGGACACTCCCTGAGCGTTTCCCATCATGCATCTCAAAGGCTTATTTACAGGCCTGGCTCGGGCCTGGCTGAGCTCCTTGAGCACAGAGTCCTGCCTTATTTATTTTCCGTCCATAGAGAGAGGTTCCCAGAATGTGAGAAGGTGGAGGAAGGGGGAGAAGAAGGAAGGAGGGAAAGAAGAAGGAAGAAGTGAAGGCAGGAAAGAAAGAATAAGTAAGTGAAACAAAGATATTGAAGGACAATCCATTCTGTCATCCATTCTTTCGTCCATCCATTCGTCCATCCAACAAATATCTATGGTGATCCTCTCAGGCCCCTTTCTAGGCACTAAGGATATAATTAGCAAGCTCCAGTGACTGGAGACGCTCAGCATTTCCAGGTGACTTTGGTGTGTGCCTATGAACGTGTGTGTGTCCCTGTGCACACAAACCCTTCTGTCGGCAAGGGCCTGCTGCTGGGACACCTGTCTTCCCTGGGGCCTGGTGCCTTTAGCATCTGTCCCTGGATCCTGTTGCAGCCCGAAATAAGGCTGTGAGCCACAACAAGGCAGGGATGATTCTTGTCAGCTGAGGCCAGAGCGCACTGCCGGGCACGCTCTGCTCGCTGACCGCCTGGCCGCTGTATGAACGCCGACCCTCGACTTTCAACTTCCCGACAGAGGTGTTAATCTTGAGGGTCTCACACCCTCTCTGCCCACTGTGGTCTCATCTCTCAGGTACCAGGATCCTAGGGGAACTTGAGGGGTTGTGGGGAGTGGGCGGAGGAGATGAGCCAATTCTCAGAGCTCCTTTCTGTCCAAGCAGAGGAAGGGCCGTGCAGAGGGTCCGGAGAGCAGGGAGCCTCGTGGAATCCTGAGTCCTGAGCTGGGGAGGGCGGGAATCTACGCCCCGGGTTCCTCTAAGTTAAATGGGGTAGGGGTGGCTGGGAATCAAGGTGGGACTATGTAATGGCTCTGCTCAGGACTCCAAGGCCTTTGGGTTGTAGAGGGAAGCAGGGTCCCAGTCTGGAAAATGAGGGGCCCTTCCGAGCATCTGTGACTTTCTGTGGGGGTGGGGGCTGTTTATCAAGAAACAGATCTGCAGGCTGCAGAGTCCTTGGTGGCCACAGGTGGACATTCTCCGTCACCTGATGACCCTCACCCAAACTCATGCAAACACATGCATGTTTGCATCCAGTCTTAGGGGGGCTCGCGGATGTTCTTGAAGCCCATCCATGGATCCCCGTGATCTAGCCCAACTCCCTGCGATACAGAGAGGGGAACTGAGTCACAGAGCAGGAAAGTGACTTGCACAGGATTACAGAGGGAGCCGGGTTCACCGATTAGACGCCAGGTCACCCCGTTCAGTGCCCACTGACCTGGGCTGGGAGTGGGGGTGGGAGGTACAGACGGAGGCAGATTGTTTTTCTAAAGAAAGGACTATGGAAAAATCCTGGAAGCAAAGCAGAGGGGCACAGGGGTCCGCAGTCTGTCAGGGGGTTCACGGGCTCTGCCTTCTCTTTTGGGAGCAAGTTAGGGGGTCTGGACTTTGGACCTGCAGGGCTTTGGGGGAACTCTGGACCTCAACTTATTTGTGCATTTCCTGGAAAGTGCCATGAGATACAAATGGGGGGAGGGAGGCAGAGGAGAAAGATGGGGGTGGGAAAGAAGGGAGCACCACGGGGTGCTAGACTTACTGGGGTGATCACTTCATAAGTTACATAGATGTCTAATCACGCTATAATATTATATGTCAACTATAACTTACAAATATTATTAAAATAAAAGAGCATCATGAAAGGTAGCTCCGAGTAAAGCAAGGAGGCGATGGTTTTATCAGCTTCCTTGGACCAGCCTGTCCCCTCAAGCCTTAGGACAGAGTACTGGGGACAGCGGGGGAGGGCCAGGCTTGCAGACCCCAGTGTCACCCCAGCCTACCCACCCAGACCCCATGTCCCCCTGATGTAAACCTTCAACCTCTTTCAGCCGCTGATCAGAGCTCACCTGAGTCAGCAGAAGAAAACAGTTGGAGAAACCCCCACCTTCCGCACCCCTAGCGTCCCTGGATTATTATCCCCTGAAGAGAGAGAGTGCTTCTCTAGTGCATGGAAGATCGAGCATCTTCCCCACCCTCCCTCCTCCCACCTCAGCCTCCTCCTCTTCCGTACAATGAGGCCCCAAAGACCCTTCCAGCTCAGACAGCCCTTGCCTGAGCTTTTGGGGTGGGCTGGAGTTGGATGGGCCGGGGACTGGGAGGAGGCCTGGGAGGGCAATGGCGGTGGCCTGGCCCATCTGTGGATCGTCTCGTCTACAGGATGATCCCCAAGGAGCAGAAGGAGCCAGGGATGGCTGCCATGGGCGACCAAGCTGGACCAGGTAAGGTGGACCCAGCCCTCCTGCGTGCCTCAGACCCCATCCTTCCTTGGTCCCAGACTGCAGCCACTCAGGCCTGCTGGCCCCAGGCCTACGAAAACAGGTGTGAGTTCCAGGTTAGCCCCAAGGGAGCGTCTGGGAACTCTGCCGCCTGGGCCCCAGACCAGGCCTGGACCCAGCGCAGTCCTTATCTCAGCCCCAAATGGCGTCCTGCAGGCTCTGATCCGAGATCCAACCTTAACAACAGCCCCACGCTCCCCACAGCTTGTCCTTGCGAATGGACGCTGTGTGTCTCAGGAGGAGACACGGGGTGGGGGTGGGGGTGGGGGGCGGCCCGAGCAGGCCGCCCAACTGAACTCAGACCATTTCATCTAAAAGCTGACTCGTCCAATGAATAAATCCAAAATACATGCTTATCAACTTTATAATACCTCTTCCAGAGCTCTTTGCCTAATTTTAAAGTTTGTTTATTTGGCCTCTTTTAGAGCGTTTCAAGTATTTTAAAAACAAATTCAGCTAAGTCAGGCCTCTCAGACTTCCATGTGCATCATAGGGACATGGCATCGGTTAAAAAGCAGGTTCCCAGCTTCCACCCCAGGGACCCTGCTTCCGTGGGAGCCATGCATTCTCCTTCCAGACAAGCACGGGGACAGTGAACCGAGCTCTGCTGGCTCTGGCCTCCTAAGAAGCACTTAATCCTGTTGAATGAATCTATATGTGAATCCTCCTTTTAAGCTCTTTTGTATGCTCTTGCCTCCTTTTGTTGGAGTCAAGTTTTGTTTTTTGTTTTTATTCCTTGATTTCGTGTGCTGAAATACACAAACTTTGTAAAGTGTTGATGCTCTGACTAAAGGAGTCAGGCCATGCACTCCCTCTTTCTGGGGTCTAAGTAATTAATTAGCCCCCCAAATATTGACACACATCGTTTAGGCCAGACTGGGAATATATAAACTGTTGGCTATGGCTAGGGTAATAATTAAAGACCATTTTGAAACTAAAGAAATGTAGAAAGAGAAACAAAATCTCATGGTTTTGCTACCAAAAGACACTCATTGTAGAGTAATAATAATAAAACATCATTTTTTATGTGTTTATGTATAGTCTCTTATATTTTTACATGTGCGATACATTTTCTTGTAAAAAAAAAAAAAAGTGCGATTTCCAGCCCTCTTCCTTCCTATGTCCCATAAGTCCTCACTGCTAATATTAGGTGCATGTCTTTGCAGATTTTTCAATGCATGCATGAGCATATATTTATTTTTTAAAATATTGAGCAGGACCTTAGAATACAAATTCTGAAACTTATTTTCCCCCCTTTAACCTACAGTGGATTTCTTTCTGCCCTCAACATGTAGAAGGTGCTCTCTCTAATTTTGCTGGATGAAAAAAAACTTTAACCTCCTTTTTAAAAAGTCTGTGTAGGAGTCCAGCCTTGAATGGAATGAGTCACAGCCCCTGAGTGGCCTCAGGGCTGCCTGGCGGCCACATCCATCTCTCTGACCCGGCCCCCCCCCGCCCCCCACCTCCACGGCTCTCAGACGACTTTGGCAACCTCTCTCCTCACGCCTCCAGTATCTCCTCCGCCATCTTCATTCTCAGCTAATGACCTTCCTTCTTATTTCACTGAGGAAAGTCAAGTCACCAAAAGAGAACATCTGCAAACTGCATCCTCCACAATTGTCCACTTACCTGCCTCTGTGCCCGCATTCTCCGTTTTCCCTCCTGATGTAGCAGAGGAACTCTCCCTGCCCCTGTCTGGAGCCAGCCCTTTTGGTTGGGCACCAGACACCCTTCCCCTCCCTTTCCCCAGCTCAAGGATTCCTCTCTCTTTATTACACTGTCAGGTTTTCCTGTCAGCTAATAAACATGCTGTTACTTCGCCCTCTTTAAAAACAAACAAATAACCCACTTGATTCCACACCTGCCTTCAGCCATGGTCACTTAACATCACAGCTCCTCAAAGCAGTTGTCTCTACTTTCCTTCCCTCTTCTCTTTCTCTCTTTTTAATATCTTATCAAGCTAACTTCCAAACACACAGCAAAGTAGAGTGCGAATCCCCATGGCCCTTCTTTTATTCCCGGAATCCAAAGCAAATCCAAACAAATCCAAGATTGCATGTCATGTCATGCTCCGAATACTTCTAAATCCATCAAAATCATAAAAAGGACATTCCCTTACATGCCACAAATATATTAGCACACGGAACACAATTAGCAATATTGATTAAGTGCTATCTAATAACCAGTCCCATAGTTAACTTTCTCCAATTTTCTACTTTGTTATAATGACGATCCAAACAAGGGCCACTGTTTTTATTTGGTTGCTATGTCTCTTAACTCTCCTTTAATCTAAAACAGCCCTCACTTATTTTTCCCATGCCATTCACTCCTTTGAAGAAGCCAGGCCCGTTGCCCTGCAGAAGGTTCCGCGGCCCGGGCCTGGCTCACTGCCTCCTCGTGCTGTGGTCAAACTGTCCCTCTGCCCATTTTCTCTTGAACTCTTTCCTATAGGCCTTTTACACCCAAATACTCTCCAGCAACTGCTTCTGTGAAGATCACCAATAGTAACCGCACGTTAGTAAAGATCATGATCAACTTAGTCCTCATCTTGCTTGACACGCCAGCAGCACGTGGCTCCGTGGGTCACCCCCTCTCCCCAGAAACACTTTCATCATTTGGTTTCCAGGACACCACACCCCAGATTTCCTTCTGCCCCACTGGGTGCTCCTGCTCGACCCCCAGGTCTGGTTTCTCAGGTCCTCAGTCTAAACGCCGGAGGCCCCAGGATGCTGACCGGCCACAGCCCTGGCTATTAAGAAAAGAAGTAAATGTGTCGCTCTTCACTGAAAACAGCACAACACATACCATGAATAAGCTCTTGATGCCCCAGTCTTTGCCTCAGGTCAGCCTTCTCCACGGCCACGAGACTCTCCACTTGGATGCCCAACTTTGAAGAAAATGAGGGGGCTTTACGTCTGAGTAAGCATTACAGAAAACAAAAAGCTGTTCACTTGGAAAGGTGGAGCTCCTTTAAGTGATTAAAGAAGCAACAAAGCGTGTAGGCTACGATTTCATCTTGGTTAAAAACTCACCCATGAATATAAAGTCATTGAAAAAGATATCAAAGGACATATACTAAGGTGTTAATAGTGGCAGTCTGAGTGGCATAAAATGGAATTTTTCTTCCTCTTATAACTGTATTTTCTGACTTTCGTCAATACACATATATGATGTTCTATAATCGTAAAAGGCTGTTTTAAAGTTAAAAGACACGTATAAGACTGAACCCCGGGCTGTCCCCACACCTCCTCCTCCAGACGCGCCCCCCTCAGGGGCGGCCGCAGTGCCCTTCCAGCGGCTCAGGCCAGAGAGCCTGCTGGCGTCCTCCAACCCCCTCTCTCTCATACCCCCCACCCCTGGCTTCCCTTTAAAAGATACCTAGAGTCTGACCATTTTGCACTACCTCCCCCACCGTGGGCAAAGAGCTGCCCAGGGAATCCATGGCATAAAGAACATGTGGAACTGTGCTCAATTTCACTGAGTGCCAAACACAGGCAAATTAAACTCTGAGATGTCATTTCTGCCCACCAGGTGGGCAGAGTCCGCTGAATGATGACACTCAGTGTTGGCAAGTGTGGGGAGAAGAAGGGTCCTCATTCGCAAGGGACATTGCTCTGAGGAGATCCCCTCAGAGGTGGCTTCCAGCGACCCGAGAGTTAGGCATTGTAAGAGCTCCCTCTGGCCTCTCCCCACAGTCCCTTTGCTGGACCTGGGCAAGAAGCTGAGCATGCCCCAGGACTTGATGATGGAGGAGCTCTCGCTGCGCAACAACAGGGGATCCCTCCTCTTCCAGAAGAGGCAGCGGCGCGTGCAGAAATTCACCTTTGAGTTTGCGGCCAGCCAGCAGCCGGTAAGTTCCATTGTGCTCACAGGGAAACTGAGGCCCAGAGAAGGCCAGTGGTTGGCCTCAGCCCAAACAGTGAGCCAGGTGAGGACTTTTGGCCCCTGGGGAGTCACTCAAGCTCCAGCTAGGGAAGGCTGTGATGTTCCCACCAAGACTGAGATCCCCCTTTTCCTGTGTGACCCCAGGAAGCCGTTACTTCTGTAGGCACCTCTCTTCAGATACAAACCATGAAGTAGAACGGGCAGGCGGAGCTGCAGGGGACAGGGACCCTGGCTCCTACAAATAGTGCTGAAGAATAGTCATGTGCTCTAGGCCGAATTTGCAGCAAGCGAGACTTAAGTCAGACATGATCTAGGATGGAAAACACAGAATGCCGCTGGAAGAAGGAACAGTCCCAGAGAAAGGAGGCAAGGATGGTTTATCCTCAGGCTTCCAAAGGGCAGCTGGCAGTTTCGGGCACTTCTGATGAGCACAGGGCATCTCATCCCCACTCCACCCAATTTCTGGGTGAGACAGGAGCTGCTGAGGAGTCATAAGGCAGAGAAGTAAAGATGACAAAACACTTACCTTTGCTATGTACCTAAGACACTGCCAGCTAATCTCTTCACATGTTACCAGCTCCTTTACTGCTCAGAAAGTGATATTATTATCATCATCTCCATTTTATGGAAAAGGAAACTGAGGTTCAGGGAGGTCATCTGCCCAGGGTTAATATTGTAATAGCAACTAACACATATAGGGCATTGCTCTGTCCCAGGCACTGGGTTTAGGGCTCTGCACTATTAATTAATACCGCCTTCCCCCCGCCCCCCGCCCGCGGAAACCCCCGGGAGGTGGGTGCTAGGATCACGTGCCCCTCTTTTTTCGGTGGAGAGTGATCCCTGGCCCCCTGCCGAGCTGAGCTTCCCTGCGGTTTATTTGCTACTCGCCCTACACAGATGGTGGCTGGAAGTGCCAAGGGGTAGGTGAGCGTAGAGGGAGACCCACAGCAGGGGAACCTGGGGATGGGGCCCGGCGACTCCAAGGTCGCTTACCGCCGCCTCTGAGTGCCCACCCTCTGCCCAGGTTGCCAATGGCCCGGAAGAGCAGAACTACCGCTCTGAGCTCCACATTTTCCCAGCCTCACCTGGGGACTCGGAGGATGCGCATCCCGCAGCTTCCCGGGCCGAGCGCGCCCCCAGCCCCAGCGCCCTGGCACCAGGTGCGTGGCTTCCAGGGGTCCCGGACCAGCGCTTGGCGGGAGAGGGGGCGGCGGGACGGGGCGCGCAGGGGGACCAGAACGTGGGCGTGCTCCACGGCAGGGCAAGAAGAGAGCCCACAGAGCGGCTAGTCCATCCGCTTCCCTTCCCAAACACACATCGGCCCACGGACCTAACTCAAGGCCAAAAAGGAGCCGCAAGGCGCCCCAGGTCACATAGCGAGCTCGCGTCCCATTCAAAACTAAAATCTGCCCCCAACTCGCTATTCCTCTGCTCCAGTCCTCCTTGTTTTCAGGGATGGGAGAGAGTGCCCTTTGCTGGATCAACGTTTGGCGTCGCATCCCCCCACTCGCCTTTCCCACCTTCAGTCTCCCCTCCCCTAGACGCGTCCGGGGGTGGGCGGAGGGAGTGAGGGCCGACGCACAAAGGCAGCCACGCGCCCTGCTCCACCTCCAGGCTATGCTGAGCCTCTGAAGAGCGTCCCGCCAGAGAAGTTCAACCACACGGTCATCCCTAAGGGCTACCGCTGCCCGTGGCAGGAGTTTGTCAGCTACCGGGACTACCAGGGCCACGGCCGAAGTCACATCCCCAGCCCTGCGGAGTATCGCAATTTTAACAAGTAAGGTGGGGCAGGCGGCTTGGAGAGCCCGCAGGAGGGTGCGCAGGTGCCAATCACAACCACGGCGGTAGCTGCGTTTCCAGAGCGCTTGCTGCCAGCAAGGCTGTGCCTGAACGCATCGTAAACATTCATTTATTGAGCTCTTGCTGGAACTTAATAGCACTCTTCCCATAGCACATGGAAGGCGCTCAGTAAATGTACAGGGGATGTGCCACACATCTCGTTGGATCCTGTCTCCAACAGGGTGGGCAGGTGCTACAGTTTTTCCCATTCTGCCTGGGAAGAGACCCGCTCAGGAATATCAGCAACTTGCCCAAAGTGCCAAAGCGAGGAGCAGGGCAGAGCTGGGCCCAGGTCTGGACTGCCTGACTCCAGAGCTGGTTTCTTGTCCTCCGTCACTGCTGTGTGCCAGTCCTTTGATGCACGTCGAGGTGCGCATCCTTCCCTGAGTGGGAGCCCCCAGTCTCACCAGGCCTAGATGGCCCAGCCTTCTCCTCATTGTCGTCAGTGATCTGGAAAGTGGCTTTAGGCTGTACCAAAGCGGGGAGTGAGGGCCACAGAGGAGTGGTTTGTGCTGTTTAGAGCCTGGGGCCTCGGCATGCGCTTAAATTCAGACTCCTCACTTGGCTGTGTGACCTCGGGAAATTGGCTTAACCTCTCTGAGCCTCCATTTTCCCATCTGTAAAATGAGATTATAATAGTACCTACTTCATAAGATTGTTGTGAGGATGGCCTGAGAAGCCATAGGCAAAGTTTCTGGCAAGTAATAGGTTCTCAATAAATAATAGCTGCTATTATTATTATTATTATTTACAGGTTGAAATGATAGTTGGAAAAGCTAGTGGGGTACAAAGGGACGTATTTAACATTCTGCCCTGAGAGCCCCAAAACAAATCATAGGAGTCAAGATAGGAACTTGGCACAGGAGGAAGGCCTTGGGCTAGGGGGTGGATTTCAATTGCAATTGGCCTCCTCAGTCTGATGCTATTTCTGGAAAATGCTCCTCACTGCAGTAAGTGTGAAAGTGGAGGGTCCGCGGAGAGGAGGCCGCAGTCCAGCTCTCCCGCACCTGCTCCGACCTCGCGTGCAGACTGTGTCCGTCTGACAAAGACTGATGGGCTGTGCCAGGGCCTGGCCGGGCCTGGAGACCGGGCCCTCTGAGGGAGGACTGAGGCGCTGAGGGTGATGGGCTTTGGGAAGAGAGCGCTCGGGCGGGGAGTGACTGCCTTCAAAGCCAAGAAGGGCCCTGGCGGAAAGAATTATCCCCAACAGGCGCTGCGGGAGCCACGAGCCCCTGGCAGATGTTCTGGGGTTTCCCGCCAGCCAGGACTGTGCTCCCTCACCTCCTGGGGCCCGCACGGGCTGCCCGCCCAGCTATTTAAAACCCTCAGCGGACACTCAGTCCTGACAGCCAGCGTCCGGGCTGGCCAGCTCAGGTTGCAGCCCCATCCATCTGACACCTCCTGAGACAGGCTGAGGCACATTCTCACCAGCAGAAGGCGGGTCCTAGGGGACCCCTGAGCCCAGATCGTTCTGGGGCAGAAGGGCCAACTGAGGCAGAGTGAAGAGGAGCAGCAGTGTCGGTGGCCACGCTGTGCTCAGGAGCCAGAGTTCTGGGCTTCCAGTCAAGGGCCCAACTGGGAGACTTCAAAACTTCCCAGCCTGTCCCCCCCCCCGGGGCTGGGCTGCTGCCACCACAGCTAGGGTGGTCCCCGCAGAAGCCCTGTCCGGGCTACTCCCGGGTTCTGGCCTGAGGTTCGCTTTTCTACCTCAGGGGCAAGCACTCTCCTCTTCCCGTTGGTCCCAGGCTGTGGGGAAAACACCACCCAAGCAATGCTTTTTATTTTTCTTCATTAAAAAATAGTTTTAAAGTCACATACTTACATCCTCTTAGAAAAACAAAACAAAACCTATGCAACTTCAAATAAAGGTGGGATTCCCTTGTTCACCCTCCTCAATCCCCGTTTCCTTCTCAAAGGTAACACTGTTGCCAGGTTGGCATGTAGGTCTCCAGAACATGTTCTACGGGCAGCTTCAGACCTCCAGGGCAGCGATTTTCGACCTTTTCCATCTCATGGCACGCATAAGCTAATTGCTAAAATTCTGTGGCACACCAAAATATATATATTTTTGCTGATCTGACAAAAAGAATTAGTATAATTTTGATTCATTCATACCGTTCAGGCCTGGAGCGAGGCAGGGAGGGGCCCCACCCTGTTACCCCCATGTCAGCGCGCTGCCATCGCTGTCCTGTCCCAGCCCACCTCTCCTGCTGCTCTTCTTCCCCCAGGACCCCCATGCCCTTTGGAGGACCCCTGGCGGGGGAGGCCACGTCCCGGGCAGGCACCCCCTTCGTCCCGGAGCTCACCAGTGGCTTGGACCTCCTCCGCCTCAGACCCAGCTTCAACAGAGTGGCCCAGGGCTGGGTCCGCACCCTCCCGGAGTCTGAGGATCTGTAGCCCCAGCCTGAACCTCCAACGCCCCGGTCTCAGAGCTTGGAGACCACCAGGAGCCAAGATCTGTGGGCAGCACCTCAACAGTCTATGAAGGGCCTTCACACGCAAAACCCATTGCAAACGGCCTCAAAGGTCACGAAGTGCAGTAGTCCCCAAATGCGGGGTTTAGAAAGTATTTCTTTTTCCTGAGATGCCGCTGGTCTTTATCTATTCATGTTCTAAACATTTACTGAGTACCTACTGTGTGCTAGACACTGTGACAGCCGCAGGCAGAGGGGCCGGGCCCTGACCTAGCGCAGGAAAGGATAGTGGGGAAGACAGATTTGAACAGCGGTAAATGACTCAGTTTTCCCTAAGCCTGCGGAGGAACAGAGCCATGAGGCAGAAGAAGAGTCTCTAACCCTGGGTGGGACCATCCCGGAGGGACGTGAGCAGGGCCTCAGAGCGGGAGTAAGTCCATTGAGGGGAGGGGTTGTGATGGGGGGGGCACTCCGGGCCAGTGGACCAGCGTGTGCTGGAGAGGTGCAGACTTGTCACAGGCGCAGGGTGTCCTGGAGAAGGGAGAGGGCTCTGAGAGGAGCCGGTGACTCCTTGGGGGCCAGGTTGGGGCGGGCTGCACTCTGAAAGTGGGGGAGGTTCCCGAGCTGGGGAGAGCGGGGCCTCGATGGTTGCTGCGCAGGCACAGGCTGCAGAGGCGTAAGGCAGGAAACCAGGACGCCTTCCAGGAACAAGGCTGGACAAGGGAGGTGGCAGCTACAGAGACGGAAAGAAGGGGCACCTTCTTGGGCACCTTGCAGGGCAGGTGCAAAGTGGGGCACTTATAAAGACCCCTTCTTCCCACCTCCTCCGGCAGATCTTGTCCTGCTTCCCACTAGGAGTGGCTCGTTAAGAAGAGGCGAGAAAGGAATGTCTTCGTTCAGGTGGTGATGAGGATGATGAGGATGGCCACTTTTTATTGGGTGTCTCAGTGCTCGGGCTGGTGGTAGGGTCTCTACATATCCAATTTCTGATTCTCAGTACAACCCAAAAGAAAAGTATCGTCCCACTTTACAGATGAGGATATCCAGGCTCAAAAGGGGAAAGGGGCTTGTCCAGGGACAGAGCCAAAATGGAAACTGTCCTATTCCAGTGGTGTCTCTTTTCACTGCACAGGGTGACCAAGCCACGCCCACTCATGCTTGCATCATCTCATACCAGGGTCCTACTTAGAGCACAGAGGTTAAGAGTGCGGCCTGGGGAGTCAGACGGGATGGGGTGGTTCTCATAGCCACTGCCAGGCCTTTTCTCACCTGGGGACCTCTGTGGGGCAAGGATAGAGCCCCCTGAACGGGGTCGCTGCAGGCATAGCGATGGATCATTATGAGACTCATACAACTACTGCTCTGAACTGGCAAAGAAGTTCTGGCGGTGGATGCAGCGTGAGAAGCAGGCTACTAGGGTGCGACTGGAGGTCAGGGAAGCCGGAGCCGGAAGGGAAGCCTCTGATCACTGCAGGGCCCCCTTTGCCCAGGGATTTCCTCTCCCTGCCGCCACTCTCTGCTGCTTCCCTGACCCCCTCTCTCGGGGCAGTGAGGAGGTCTGGAGGCTCCCTGTGCCCCACACAGTCTCAAGGGGCCAACAGCTTGACTCGGAATTGCTTGCCATCGGCGTGTCGTCTTGAATTTGGGCACTGCTGTTTACAGTCATGTTTCCATAAGCTGAAAACCAGCCATGAAAGTGTCTGAAACGTACAAGAGAGGAGTAGGACGGCCTTGCGTCGGCTCGGCTGTGCTGGCGTGGGGGGTGACGGGAGCCACCAGGGCACAGCAGAGGAGAGCCCGGTGGTGCCTCCACGCCCCAAAGCAAAGCCTCATTCCTTTCTTCTTATAGTGTGGCTTTCACTGATACTGTTTTGGGAGAAAAATTCTTATTGGAAAAATAGATAAATAAGCAAATAAAGGAAGAAGTGAAGCATGAAGGTCTCTGCCCACACAGCTCCTCCCTATGCGACATTGACCTCCCCACTCTCCTGCACTCTGCCTCGTCCCACCTGTCAGAGGCGACCACTGGTAACAGTGCGGTCCTTCCAGCGTCCGAGGATTATTTGAATAGATAAATACGTATATGTGTAGAGTTGCATTAGTACAAAGATATGGTTGTTTTCATGGGATCATGCTATATGTATTATTCTGTATTTTGCTTCTTTATTCAACAGTAAGTAAAATTTGGATCCTGAAAAAGCAGGTCACTAACCTTTCATGTAATTTAGGGGCCCAACAAACTCTTCCTATAAAACTCTGTACTTTTGTCTGTTTTGTTCTTTATGTAAATGAAATCATATGGTGATAGGGAAATGAAAGGGACTGAGGTCAGCCCAAACATTGGACATCAGACACAGCAGCAACGAACATGAGCGAACTGCGGTTACATGCAACGATCGAGAGGCATCTCAGGAGCCAAGTGGTGAGCAAAGGAAGGCGGGTCCAATGTATGTGTTTGCTGAAGCAAGGGCGTGTGTAATGAAGTCAGGACAGTGGCGACTGGGAGGAAAGAAAGGTGTGTGGCTGTGAGTGGCAGGAAATGCTCCTGGGAAAGCTGGAAGCTTTCTCTTTCTGGAGCTGGGTCACTGTTACACAGACGTTGACTTTAAAATACCTAAGATAGGTGTACATTTGTGTTTTATGTACTTTTCCGGTACATCTGTTACATTTTACCAAAACAATTCCTCCTTTTAAAAAAGTTAATAGATTACTAGCACTTTCGATATATGTGAAGAGAGAATTAGTGAACTAAAAATGACATTAGATATACCTTAAGAATTTGTGAACTGAAAGTGCCCACAATGCCCACAGAGACGTAAAAAAATGGAAAATATGAGAGAAGTTAAAAGACATGGAAAATAAAATAAAAATGCCCAACACTACTAATAGGAGTTCCAAACGGAGTTTAAAATTGACCGGGGGTTTTCCAGACTCCTACAATTTTCTGGAAAAGACAGACATTCACATAATCCTCACCCTGTCATGAGGAGGACGAATTAAACCCATACTTCAGAAACACTGTACTAAAATTCCAGTGCTCCAAAGTCACAGAGAAGTGTCCAAGGCACCCAGATAAAAAGTTGGATTACCTACAAAAGAACAACACTTAGAATAACAGCAATAATGAAAAAATGTATCTTCAAGGAGTGGGAGCAAAATAATTTTCAAACAGATATTAAGAGTTTCCCACTCACCCCTGCAAGAACCACAAAAGAACATGTTCTGGGAAGGATCCAGAAAAAAAGTATAGAATCTAAGAAACAATGATGAGCAGAGAAATCAATTCCACAGACAGCAGAAAGGATGAAAAAGAAGGCACATAAAATAAAGTGGTATAAATACATTCAACTGTATCAGTTATCACAATAAATATAGATGGATAGGACTCACCAGTTTAAAGATAAGAGATACACAGATGGAATCAAAAGTAGTTCCAGCTCCATGCTGTGCATAAGCAGCACTCTTACAAATATAACACAGGAGCAAAATTTAAAAATGGGGAAGAATAAACCAGTCAAATGACATCCCACAGAAATGTGTCCTACCCTCATGTACCATTGGTGGGATTATAAATTGGCACAAACACCATGGAAAACCGTATAGGGGTTCCTTAAAAAAAATCAAAAATAGAACTACCATATGACCCAGCAATTCCACTTCTGGGTATATACCAAAAGATATCCAAAACACTAAATGCACCCGAGGTTCCTTGAAGCATTATTTACAATAGCCAAGATATGGAAGCAAACTAAGTGTCCATCAATAGACAACTTATTAAAGAGGTGGTACATATATACAATCGAGTATTATTCAGTCATAAAAAAGAATGAAATCTTGCCATTTGTGACAATATGGGTGGACCAACCTAAAAGGTATCATGATAAGTGAAGTAAGTCAGAGAAAGACAAAAACCATATGACTTCACTTATGTGTGGAATCTTAAAAACAAAATAAATGAACAAGAGAAACAAATTCATAGATACAAAGAAAAAACTATTGGTCACCAGATGGGAAGGGAGTTGGAGGGATGGACGAAAAGAGTGAAAGGAATTTAGAAGTACAAATTGCCAGTTATAGAAATAGTCATTGGGACATGAAATGCAGCACGGAAAATATAGTCAATAATATTGTAATACCCGGGCTGGTGTGGCTCAGTGGACTGAGCACCGGCCAGTGAAATGGAAGATCACAGGTTCGATTCCCAGTCAGGGCACATGCCTGGGTTGTGGGTCAAGTCCCAGTTGGGGGTGTGTGACAATAGATCTTGCACATGTTTCTCTCCCTCTTTCTCCATCCCTTCCCCCCCTCTAAAAATAAATAAAATCTTAAAAAAAAATATTGTAATAACTATGTATGATGCCAGATGGGTACTAGACTTATTGGGGCGATCACTTCATAAGATATAGAAATGCCTAATCACTATATTCTATACCTGGAACTAATATACATCAACTACAGTTGAAAAATAAATTTTTAAAAAAGGAAATGTGCTCTAGCCATGTTAATAGAAGACAAAATGAGACTTTCTGACAAAAAGCATTATGTAAGAATACTTACATAATGATAAACCCATAATCATAGTGAAAAATTTAACAGAATTTTTTTCAATTATTGATCAGTTATCAAATAAGGATAGAGAAAATTTGAATAAGATGAAAATGTAGAATCCTGCACCACCAAATTAGAGAATACTCATTAATTCAACTACCTATGAAACATTAAAAAAAAATAAACACAAAAACTTCTGTGTATCAAAGGACACTGTCAAGAGAGTGAAAAGGCAACTCACAGACTAGATTATAATTCAAAAGATAAAGTAAATATCCATGAATCCATAGATATAAATAAATGACTCAATAAAGTGGGAAAAGAGATCAACTGCCCTTCTTTAGAGACTTCCAAATAATTTAAGTAGATACCCCGCCCCTTCCGGAGGTGGAGCATAATGCCCCTCAGACAATGCTCCTCCTACGGACCACAGACTGGGCTTGTCAATTTCCCAAGAACAGAGCGCAGGGAGGGAAAGTAGTGCCTTTACAAAGAAACCTGAAAGACAACAACTTAACCAAGAGACCTGGGGGCAGGGGTTGCTTTACATTCCTCCTCTTTCACCTCCATTTGTTTTGGGTTACAAAGTCTCAATGTAACTTGGCTTCCAAAAGTGGGTCATGGTGCACTTTGCCCAGGGGGCAGTCACTGCCTTCCTTTAGCTGTCAGGATGCTATTCCCTCCAAGCCTTCTGCAGGGGCAAGCGGCGTGGCTCCAAATACTACAGGCAGGGTAGCGAGCAGGGCTAGGAGGTGAGGCATTATGAACTAGACAGAGGTTAAGTAACACGCCCAAGGTCACACAGTTGGGAGGTGAAGTGGGGATTTGCACTTAGGGAATCTGGCTCGAGTCTGTTTAAACCATTACTCAGAATTTTTAAAAAATTGTTTTTTTCCTTTTTTTTTTTACTGTGTGATCATTTGACGACATCCGTTATTAGAGTAACACTAGTTGCATTTACTGAAAAATCTCCAGCCCTCAATGGCTTACGGGTGACAAAAGCCCTCCTATCACAATGCTCTTCTCAAGGCAGTGACGGAGGAGCCCAGTTCTGCCCGTTGTGTGACTGCCATCTTCTGAGGTCATCCCGCTCCTTTAGCCAACAGAGCGGGGAGAAGCTCACAGGACCGACCGGGTGAGACGTTCTTACAGAGCAGCTCTGTGCCCGGGGAGAAGGGCATGCAGCCTGGGGAGCACGCGCACGTTTCTGCCAATTGCTTGTGATTCTGATTTACTCAAGGCTAAGTGATCATCTGTTCTATACTTCAATTATATTGGCTTATGCTTTTCAACAAATAGGAGCACGCAAAAAATTTAGAATCTCTTCCTTTTCAAAAAGGCAAGAATATACAATTGAGTAGTCATGTGTGTGTGTATTCCAAGTTTCGCAATTATCCACACTACATGCTTCGCATCTTACAAATTGGCTAAAAATCTTTTACATCCTCAAAAGCAGACCAAAAAAAGCCCAAACCCTACCCAAAATGGTCTCAAAATATTAGAAAGTACTTGTATTGCTGAAATAAAATCAAACTTGTGTTTCTAGATTTTTTAAGTCTTAAAAAAGAAAACAAAGGCACAATGAAACCCTCTAGAGGAAAACAAAAATTCTCCAGTGAAGCTACAAAAGGGTGCTTGTTACATGGGGTATGTCCATCCCATACATACAGATTATAAATAAAAATGACATGGAATTGGCTTTGTAGGTAAATTTTGCGTTTCCTTTTAAAATGACTTTTTAAAGCTACCATTTATCAGTGGCCACATGGCAGGCTGTGGGCCTTTTTATCATCATAGAGTGGACGGAGATAGAAATAAAGTCCAAAGCAAAAATTTACATTTATATGTAACTTGTTTCTAACTTCCACTGACCTCAAGTTCAGCTACCAAAGGACAGAAAGAAAACAGAAATCTAGAAATCAGTCTATGACATTTGGAAAATTGACCCGTTTTAATTTTTTAAAAACAAAACAACACAACACAACATCAAATTATTTTTTCCATCTACAATTCAGTTATACCCAAACATTCTAAGACCAAACAGAGTTCCCTGCCCAGAAGCGGGGAGTTAGGAGGAGACACTCGAAGGTGAGTGCCGAAGGTCAAAGTTCCAGCTGCAGGTCACCAGTCTCCCATTCAAACACGCGCCAACATTTCACAGTCTGTTAAAAGTGTTTTACAGGAAGTTATTGAAAATAATCTCATCCCAGGCACCAGGTTTCTTCAGTGATACACAGCTTCGCGACATTTGTTTCCATCGAACTGATAGGAATACTAAGTAATTGTAATTTGTGTCCTTTTCTGGTAGCGGAGAACTAGAAGTGTCAGCCAGACCCCGGCAGGCCTCAGCGGAAGGCGCGGAGAGACCTGGGCTGCGTGGGCTGCTGGTTTCCACTTGTCCTTCTGAGGGTGTGACTGCAGAAGTGTTAAATCACACTCAAGCCACTACAATGATTAGTACTAGTCATCCTTTTTTTAGACGATAAAAAGGAAAATACCCAATGGACATAAAAATGGTCAAAAGGTTTTTACCGCAGGTCAATTTTCTTTTCCCCCCAAAAATAATACAAAATGAACATAGAGCTGGGATGGTAACTCCGTTGGACATTCCAATTCATCCCGCTGCTTGTTCCCCACAGGAGTAAGGGGAGCAGGCATGGGGTTTTATTAGTAATATTATAGTAGTAACCAGGTGTGTTAACGGCAGCTTATGTGAGGCCCATCAATCAGATCATGGCTGTCGTTCCCCGACTGCCCACATCTGAACACATTCAGCTACCGTGGGAACTACAGAGAAAGGAAAAATGTATTTATTCCAAGATCCGTTTACTGGGATTCATAAGCGCCCTGTCTCCTGCAGAGCCCCAGAGCGGTGACAATGTGCTAGGGGCTGCTGTGTTTCCCGGCATGAGCTCCCATTCTCTGAGGGTCCTGAGAAGGATAGTGGATTGGTCCTGGGGCCCTCATGAAAGGAGGCGGCGGTCCCATCGGGTGGAACATGTGTGGCCCAAAACCTGCAGATGGGGGAGAACAAATCTGTTAGGCTTGCAGTTCTCCTGACCGCCTGTCAAACCTCTGAATCTTTCTAAAGTCAGTACCACTTACATAAACCAAATGACAAGGAGCTTCAGAAAATGGTAGTTTATAAGACTTATTTAGGAATGTCTCCCTGTATTTACTTCCTTGGTTTGAGAAACCATTCCTCTCAGTCCTGGTTAAAAGAAAACTCCATGGGACTCCAGGAATGTGCCAGTATGTCACCTGAGCCCCGGCGGGCTATCAAACAGGCCAGTCCTACCAAAGCAGGATTTGGGAGGTGAGCAGGAAATCAGGCTGACTCCGATTCGACGGAATCACAAGACGGAAGACACCGTCATCCTTAACCTCAATGACTTACACCAGAAAGGAGGGCGTTCAGAAACCAGGACTTCCCTCCCCGAGTACGCGAGCCTGCCCCGGGGGCACTGGCTCCCAGGGCCTGGCCGACACTGCTGGTGCTGGCGCTGGCGCTGGCGGCTCCAGAGCAGCACTATCCGAAGCGCCTGCCGGTCCTTGGACTGTTTACTACAAATAAAACTGATCGCACCACCAAGCGCACTGTTTACTTGTTCAGATAATTTTTATAACAGGACTTTCTTAATCAATTTACATTCTGGCACATCTTATCTTGTTGCAAACAGACAATAATACTTTGTGAAATGACAAACGTCCACAGCCTACGCCCTGGGCGACGGCGCTCCAGGGCATCGGGACTGTGTTAGAACAGGGAACAAACTGGCGATGGGTCACTGGAATCCAGCAACTCCCACTGAGTTACATACACTGAGATCTTTAGAAAACTGGCAACTTTCCCCTCCTCAGCAGGCCAGGAAAAAAAAATCAGAAATCCTAACAAATCAGATTTACTTGAGGAATTCTATGGGGCAAACTAAAAAGGAGTTAAGACCGTTAGACATGATGGTGAGGTGTAAAAACAAAACTTTCCTAAGGATACCTCTGGACTTAGTCAGGCCTATCTAGTAAGGATGGTGAATGTACCTGGGGGTGGGGGCGGAGCAATACCAGGGGGTGGAGGCAGGGCAATGTTCACCACAGCTGGAGGGCCGCTGGGGGGTAGGTTGAAGTAGTTGGCAGAGGCTTCTTCTTCTGCTGCGGGAGGAGGAGGAAGCGCTGGAGAAGAGCAAATAGCCAACAGTTAGAGGGGAAGACAACTGTGCCATGATGTTTCTAGCATTTTATTTTTTTTAAAGGTGTATTTATTTTCAGAGAGAGGGGAAGGGAGGGAGGAAGAGAGGGAGAGTAACATCCATGTGAGACAGAGACATCAACTGGTTTTGTCTCATAGGCACCCCGACCGGGGACCAAACCCGCAACCCAAGCATGAGCCCTGGCTGGGAGTTGAACAGGGAACCTTCATTTTGTGGAATGACACCCAACCAACTGAGCCACAGCGGTCACTGCCGTTAAACGTGGAGCTCCTCCTGGGAGACAGCTGTTGCAGGTGCCAGAGACATGGTCTCTTCTAACATCTGAGGGACATCAGCTCAGTCTGAGCACCGAAGCCGGCAAGTCACGGGGCAGGCAGGCTGGCCGTCTGCACTCACCTCCTGGCAGGCCGGGAACGGGCTCTAGCTTGATCCCAGACTCCGTGGTTCCGTCCTTCTCTTTTTCTTTTCCTCTGGCTGCTTGGGACCTGGGACACAGACACATGACATCGGCACTCTGTCCCTTCTCTCCCACCTCTCCTTCTCGTGCTTCCTATCCACATGGAGTTCTTGTCCTCTTTCCCCTTAAATGTCACAGTGCAGAGTAGGTAAGAGCAAAGGTTTTCAGGCCAGAAAGACCTGGGTTCAAAATTCCCAAGAACTGCTGCGAGGCCTAGAAGAAGCCGCCCGTGTGCGCATAGCACAGGGGCTAACCCAGGAAGCACGCCCTAAGGGCCGCCGCTGAGGTTAGCGCTCTTCCCCGGCTCCAAGTTGGAAACAGGGTCCCCCTTTGAACTTTCAGGGCATTTCATCACTTTCAACCTAAGTTAGCTGTTCTTCTCCACTGGACAGTCAGCCTCTAGAGGACAAAATCTGGGTCTCGTTCGTTCTGTAAACTCTCAAATCTGCCTTTCAGGCTCCAGCATTACACTTGGCCAAAATAGCTGGTCACGAAAACACACGAACCCTCAAAGGAGATCACTACACCCAAACCCTGAATGAACTTCCAAAGCAGGATGACCCCCATATCCACAGGAATGAATGTTAAGAGAATGGAAAATCCTTTCTGGTCTATTCACCAAAAGCTTACTGGCCCCAGGTAATGAAACAGTTTTCTTGACAATCTCAAAGACATTTTAAAAATAGTCTCTTCTCACCTTCCCCACTTCACGTTGAGTCTGCGGCCATTGACAATCAGCTTATTGAAGGACTTCTCGGCAGCCACTTCCGCGGCCGGCCTCGTGGCGAACTGGATGAAGGCGCACTGCTGCCTCTGCACCACGGTCACGGTCCGGATCTCTCCGAACTGGTAGAAGTGATTCCTGGAGGGGCGCCGGCAGAGCGGGGCGAGAGGTAAGGCCGGCCAGCCATTCCCGAGAGGCTGGCAGGTGGCTGACTCTGCCACGGACACGCCACACAGAACGCGACCCCACGGACGGGGGCTCGACGACTGTGGTAACTCCCCCCGTGTCTCACTGAGGGGGACTACGCATCCCCTCAGGCGAGGAAAAACAATGCGCGAATAAAGGCTGGAACATCTCAGGGTTCTCCCCACGGAGAAGAGGGGACCCCAGGAAGTTCCTTAGGGACCCTAAACCCTAGATAATGGGCTGGCCAACAACAGCCCCATGGCCCATGCACCAAAAATATTTTTTTTACATCTCAAAGGCTGTAAAAAAGAGAAGAAGGGAGGACATCTGCCACCCTCTGGGGACTGTCCAGCTCACACAGACAGAGCTTAGTGGGGACAGGCTACCAAGGGCAGGTTATGGAGTTTCCTCTCCACTTTGCCTCTTTGGAAGAGGTATTTCCACTCTCTGCCCAGATGTCTCATCTAGCTGACCAAAATACAAGCCAAGAATCATACAAATTTACCAAGTGCCAATCTCTTTTAAAAGACAACAATTTAAACCATGTGAGTCTTATAATTGCAAAGCTCTCCTTCCCTTACATAATTAAGCATACTTGGATGTGTGCTCTATTCTAAAAACTCTAGTCAGCTATTAAGCCAAATAAAATCTCATGTAATTATTACCATATGCAAGCATGGAATAAGTTCTATTGATGAATATTTCTACTTTGGCCTCAAAAAGAACAATCTTATAAAAATTCTAGTCTGCATGACATTTGCTGACTATAAACTGGTAAAGAAAAACGTATTTTGTAAAGGACTACCTTGCTTGCCTGCTTTTTCCCCTCGCCCCCTCAAATTATTCCAGGGCAGTTAAAAGCAAAAAGAGCTCATTAAATTACATCCACAGACCTTAGATCTGTCTCAGTAATGGTATCACCCAGGCCGCCAACATATAACGTGGTGATAGTCTTGTCCTCTGGCGGGTCCAGGCGAGGCATTGTTGATGCCCGCTTTAGCAGCTTATCTGCTACAGGGTCATTGATTCCATAGTATCGGTCTTTAATGTTCTGATCAGCAAGGGGGTCGTCTGGATCTGTAGGCTTCTCATGTCTATGGTTCAAGAAAGAACAATGCAGAAAGGTGAAACAGGAAAAAAATTACAAGTATCCCCCAACAGTAGCTACGTAAGTCCCAAATACATACCGTGAAATGCTTCTGAACTAAAACCTTGGTCATACCAAAACATAATGATCAAAACAGAGCTGATATCATGTGATTTACTGTATGTAGTCCAAGAACTTGCTAGCCTCCCAAAAGCCATTTAAATGGCCATCTAGGGTGGCAGAGTTTCCTTAGACAGAAATGCTTTTGGCACCATGCACCCCCAAACAAAGGGCAACCAAAACAGCGTTATCTCGCTCTGGGTCAATGTTTCTTAACATAGTTGAGGTCTTGTATTCCACTGAGAGTCTGATTAAAGCTATGACCCAGCCCCAGAAAAGCCCTAGAAAATGGAAGGGCAGGGGTTAACCAACCCCAAGTTAAGAGCTCCGAATCCAGATGCTTGGCAGTCTCAACTGAAACACACTCACACACCCTTGGATGCCTGACCTCAACTGACCTGAGCTATCCACTGCGATTCAAGCCAGGGACACCATGACAGTGAAGACTTACGTGTCAGGCAGAACCGCTCAGGGTCAACATTTATCTTACACAGCATAGCAATTTAGCTTCCCGAGGCTCAGTTAGAAGTAAAAGTTCCATTATATGTAAATACAACAATTCAATCAAGCTTTTCTAAATTTAACAGTCTTAAGCCATGAGCTAGACCATACTAGTTGTATCAACTTTTAGACTTTAAAGCAGAAATAGTTTAAGCTAGTACCTCTCACTTCTTTTATGACTAATCATCTGAAAGCAAACACTGGACATGCACTTCAGCCCTCACCTGTACGGACACTCCTCTCCTCTCTTACATTCTCCTTTCACCCAGAAGGAGCAAATGTGGGGCCGGTTCCTTTTGTAGTAGGGTGTGGTCCGGGCCAGCTTGAGCAGCATGTCACTGGTGGAAGTGGCTTTCCCCAGCATGCCAACTGGCCGAGTTCCATCAGAGTTAGAAATCTACACAGGGGTGGCAAATTCAAAAGATAAATTATATAAACCCCACTAGGGTTCTTTTATCCATTATAAGATTACATCAAGAAAGTGACAGCCTACCTCCCTCTCCATATTCTGTGTGTAGTACTCTTTGTTGACATCTGACTTTGGCATGTCATCCTTAAATGACAACCCTGCGTCACGAACCTGGATGGGCAGGCCTGGCACAAAAGAAAGAAAGGGAAAAAAAAACCCTCAGGCATATTTTTAGCTACTACCACTTATATACACAGAAATTGCTGCAGAGCATTCTAAGAAACTGTCCTATTTCCTAAGATGTCATAATTTTGAAACAAATGTTTTAGACAATCTTTTAGATGAACCAACTTTGGGAAGTCAGACTTGACCTGTAAATTAATAATGTATCTAGCTTTTATTACAACACCATTTACTTAAAATAAACATAAAAAGTGGTTTTTAGGTTGGTCCTACAGAGCCTCTGGAGAGTCACGGCCAAGTACAAGTCATTATATTCTATGGGTCATTATATACCCTGCAGAACACCTCCTTAACAAACATATAAATAATATGTGACCAGGACTCTAAGAAGCAGAGTAAATTTCTGAATTTAACATTTACAAACCCAAATTTTCCTCTTCCCTTTTTCTGTATAGTAGAAACTCTTGTTGAAAAAATAAATAAGTCACTTTCAGTTTAAAAAAAAAAAAAAAAAAGGCAGTTACTCAAAAACACTGGAAGTATATCAGTCCTAACGATACCCTTGACACAAAAACCTAAAAGGACAATTAGCCTCGGAGCTTCTGGTAGAGGTTGTGGGAAAAAGCTCTGATGTACAAAGAAGCCCAAGGCAAGGAAATTACCTATAATAGGAACAATACCTTTACCTCACCTTGGCTATAGGGATGTGCACCAGGGAGTCTTAAGCCAGTTCTAATTCCCAACTTTTCTTTAAGTTCCTACTATGGTTCAGGAGGACTCTAGGATGGCCCAGGGTGGCTCTCCTCTTACTAGGAAAAGCAGCCCACAGCAGACATTCAGAAGTGGGGTCACAACCGAGATTGGGGAGACATGGGAGACAGAGACCGGCTGGCTGTCTAGGGCACCTGCACACTTTCAGATCTACTGACAGCGCAAACGTACCATACTCTAGATCCAAGAGGCAGGTCTGACAGACGTTCTTCAATTTACTACAGGTTTGGCACACTTCAGTCTTCTTGAAACGCATGCGAACCCCGGGGCACCAGCGAAACACTGTGAATGGCCTGGCACAGATCTTTAACACAAAGGAAGAGCCACAGAGAGTGAACAGTCCTCACCCGGACAATCAATCTTTATCGTGTTTTGCTGTGTATAATGTGTACTGTCTTTGCACAAATTTTTGAAGGAAAAATAAGGATGTGCATTATACATGGGTATAATGATTATATACCATGGGTATAATAATGGGCACAATAACCCCGTGTATGATGCGCACAAAAACGGGGGTGCACATTATATACAGGAGTGCATTATACACGGCAAAATGTGGTAACAGCCACGGGGGATTCAGAAGAAGGATCTCTGAATCCAGGGTTTACAAGACACATTTGCAATCATCTAGCCTAAATGCCATCTGATATTTCAATTATATTTACAACACCCTGCCCCAGTAGTAAAAAATTCACATAGTATAGAAATGAAATACTCAAAAGACAAAGTCCTCTCTACCCCAGAGGTAACCACCATTAATAACTACCCTTAAACTTTTAGGGGGGAATGGGGTAAGTGTCAGATCCTCCTCTGAGAATCTTATGACAGCTATGACCTTCCTCATCAGCTAAAATTCTCATGTGTATAGTCAATCAACACTTGGTATACAGTCTCAGGGAGTTCAAAGCCCATCCACAGACACCAGGTTAAGAGTCCCTACATTAAAGGGCTCACTTTCTTACCCCACACACTAAGTAGTCAGTGAATACATAAACAGTCAATGGGTATGTGAACGATACATGCAAGTTGTGTAGCACTGACTTTTACTGGAGGACCTTGAAGCTCAGCAAGTTAAAAGCTAATTTGGTAGAAAAAAGGAAAATAAAATGAAATCATTACTCTTTAACAGAGATACTTACTTTGCATTCTTTCCCATACTTTTCTTTGGTCTGAAATAGAAAAGAAACAGAAAAGAACTGAAGCTCCAGGGGGAAAAGGAAAAAAAAAAAAAAAAAAAGACCAGATGTCTGCTTCTTCCCCAAATGCAACCCAAGAAATGTCTGGAGATCCCTGTCACTTTAAGGGGAGGTGCGGGGGCGGGAGGGGAGGAAAAACATTTTGGGGTAGTGTAGGGTATATATTCAAATCACCTCCAAGGAGTTATAATTTCTTAAGAATCTCACGGATCTAACATCAGGTAAGTATGTGTCTTTCCACAGTTACAACTCTTAGGTTCACTGCCACTTCCCAAGTTCTCTCCCAAGAACTAAAATTCCTAAGTTTCCACAGTCCCCAAATCAAAAAGGATGTCGCCATGGCCAGCCCATTGTACAAAGTTTGGTCAGAAGGTAACAAAGACTGTGCTGATAACCTTCCTGCATATAGTAAATGATCCCTTCCCATAAGCTATTCAATATTTTGAATGTTATCAACACATTAACACCTGAGACTGATCACATTATGGTCCTAACCTAATTATTGAATGTTAATGGTCACTAATTTTACCCTTATTTATAACAATAGGGGCCACTTACGTTAGAGATAGGCAAGATGCAGTGGCCCAAAGCTATTAAGAGTCAGGAAACCTGTTTCCAGTCCTGGCTCTCCTAATGTGCTGAGGTCCCTGGAGGGAGAGTATCTGAATTTAAATCCCAGCTCCACTCATTACTTGCCATATGAAAAGACACAAACTCACGTTTCTAATTAACAGATCTCCCAGGAAAATGCTCAACGAGTCCGACCTATTATTATGACTCCTACATCACAGGATTGTCTCTGAGTTCCAAAGTGACAGAATAAGCATGACAGTCCTTTGCAAACTGTCATAGGCTATGGGCTGGTAAAGAAGCATCATTATTTCTGCCTGGCTAAGAGAAGCACTTCATGGACAGTGTGCAAGTACCCCCATGTTGACAATATGAATAATTCCCATTCCACATACGATCACTCACCATTCGGATATATGGGTTTTCTCCAAGACACGTCTGGCACAGAATGGGGAAGTCCTGGTGAAGTTGGGAGATCTGGTTGAGAGCCAGGCTCCGAGGACCCTGCGATCTCAGCCCCAGTCATGGGTAACGGGGGAGGGAGGGCGGGAAGCGGGGCGAAGAGGGAGGTGGGAACAGGGCAAGGCAGGAACCCGCGGTCCAGCACGGGCCTGGTCGCGGGAGGGGGAGCTGTCTGCTCTTCCGGCGGGAAAGGAGACCAGCACGAAGAAAGTGGAGAGGGACACCAAGGAAAGGGGGCTGGGCTCGGACCCTGGCTAAGCCCCCTCCCTCCAGCCTCCGGCTCCGGCCTAGCTAGGCCGCGGCGCTGGCTCCTCGCCGGGGTCCCCCCGGCCGCGCTGCAGACCCGGCCGCGCCCGCCCGCTGGAGGCCCGGCCTCGTCACCTCCCGCCGTCCCGCTCCGGTGGGCACACTCACCGCATCCTCCCAGTTCTGCCTGTTGTACGTGTTGGAACCCAGAGAAGTCGCCATCTTGAGAGCGTCCGGGGGCAGCGGAAGCTACAAAGTGGGAAGAGAGGACCGCCACAATCCCGTCAGGCCCGAGGCTGGTTCCCGGGCTGTTACGTCTTATTTCCGCGTCTAGGGCGCCCCTGGGGCGGGGCCTTGCGCGGCCCTGGGGCGGGGCCTTGCACGCCTGGACTTCGCGCCCTCGGAATGCCTTTTCTTTACGTTTGGAATCTTGGTGTGTTAAATTCTTCTTCTTTTTGAGCTGTTCCCTGGTTGGGGTAAAGAGCCACAAGTATATCTGATTTATTTAAAAATGGAGTGAAAAAATAAAGGGACAGGTAATGAATGAGGGGGTGGGGTTAAAGCAGCATTAGCTCCTACTGAGCTCTTACTATGTCAGAAGCTGGGCGAACGTCTTGCTGGGCCAGTGTTTTATTTAATTCTCACAGTAACTCTTGCAAGGCTGCCTGAGTTAGCAGGCAAAAACACAGATCATCTAGTTAAGTTCGAATTTCAGGTAAACAGCGCATCGTGTTTTAGTATAAACATGTTCCAGAAATTTATATACTAAAATTGTTACCAAACAGCAACTGGGGTCCTGCTGCCCACCACCACCCCTAGGCAAAATTCCAGAGGCAAAGTTTTGGTGATGAAAGGAGTCTATGCAAAACTTCATGATTTTGGAATAATAACTTTCCACATCCATTAGTCATGTAAGCCTATCAATTAAAGCTAACCTCTTAACACCTGGGTTCTCTTAGCATTCCCCTTCTTAGTTTTTAGTTATTTCTACAGGGTTAGTTTACAAACTAAAACAACATGAGATACAAAAGTTTACACAATTTTGGAAAAATGGCAAGCCGCTGCCTCAGAGCTCGTCCCTGCTGGAACACCCGAAAAATAAACCTGCCACCCTCTGCCGTGCCAGCCCCATCCAAGGCTTGCCCAGAATTCCTTCCCATCCAAAATACCATGTGTCAATTGGAAGCGCAGGCAGCAACAGCACGATTATCCAAGCATCCTCAAGGAAGAAGAGCCTGAGAACCAGAGAGAGAGCCAGTCCAGGAGCCAGAGAGCCAGCTCTCTTTTCATTTCCATGTGCTCTGGAGGCATTCAGCTTCTCACTCCATCCTCTCCTAGACTATTGACCCAGTGTCTTGCGAAACTCCTCCTATGCTGCACCCTGCTTCTCCCCAGTAATCTGATCAGATCTCTCTGTGTCAATAGTACTGTTTTTTCAACTTCTGAAATGAAAAGTGTAGTAAGGATTAACACAGGCATTGCTATATCACTTTGGGAACAAGTTATAACCACTCTGCCAATATTTTATGAATTACAAGCATTCTTTTAACGGGGCACAGCCAGGGCCCCCGCCCCAAAGGGTATTTTTAATGGGATTTAGAGATTAGTGTGTCCAAGAAAAACATATTCTCCCCACCCCAGGGCGGGCCACCATGGGGATGGGAGCCTTGAGCAGGGCCATTGAGAGCCATTTTACATGTCAGTAACAGGATAGCTTCATTCCTCATTTGCAAAAAGGGTTATTTTGCCTATCATGAAAGCTAATCAGGAAGATTAAAAAAGACAAAATACAGAATGTAACGGAGAGGAGGAGGAGAGACGGGCCTGCAGGAGAGACAAAGGGACACAGACTCAGGAACAGTGTGAAGACCACGCAGGAAGAAAGAGGGGAGAAAGGACTCTTGCTAGTGGGCCAGGAGAAGGTGCCACATGGTTATGGATTAAGAGCTGGAGATCGTGGCGACGCAGTGGATGGTGCTGAGACCCGCGGGAGGCCTGCCTCGCCGAGCCCCGGACTTCTGTTCTTTTTCTTCTGAAGGACGGTACCCTTGACAGGCCTGACTGGCCTGACTGGGCAAAGTGGGGGGAGGCAGGACGGTGTGTGTGCTGGTGATGGTTTTAAAGGGATTTTGAGGTTTAAGGACGACATTTAGCCATTAATCAAACCTGTATAACTTTTAAATAATAGTTCCTTTCCTTTTCACCAAACTCTGCCATTCAGAGCCATAATTCCAAGGGCCGCAGGCAAAGGACCTACAACCAAGGGATCCTGGGGAAGGGGGGTGTCGTTTCGGTAATAGCATCTGGGCACCCCCCTGCCCATGGGTCCATTTGTTTGATAACATTCTGGTACCACTTTAATAATTTTGACATATCCTATCATCAAACTACCTAAAACGTTTGTCACCTAATTTCTTTAAAATGAGGTTTATTTGAAGTATAGTTTCTGTACAGTTTACCTTCTAGTTGTACAGTTAGGAAATTTTACATACATTCACCACAAATATAGTTCCAATCTACAAAGTCCCCTTGTGCCTGTTAATCCATTTCTCCTCACACACACCGTCAGAGGCAACCACTGGTGTGGGTTCTGTCCCTATAGTTTTGCCTTTTCCAGAATGTCGTAAGTAGAATCCTATATAGTCTTTTGGGTCTAACTGCTTTTTCTTAGAATATTGTATTTGAGATTCACCATATTGTTACATGTATCAGTAATTTGTTCCTTTTTATTACTGAGAATTCCATTGTATGAATGCCGGGGTTGGGGTGGGGGCGTGGTTAAAAATCCATTTGCCAGTTGATAAACACTTGAGTTGTCCCAGATTTCCATGAATATAAGTAAATACAGGTTGTTGTATGGATGTGGGTTTTCATTTGTCAATACCTAGGGGTGAGATTATTTGATCATATGGTAAATATATATTCTGTATGAGGAAGTGCTTGAGTCTTTCTGAGCTTCTGAGATCTGTGGTTTGCCTTTCATTATATTTTGAAAATTCTTAGATGTCATCTGTTCAAGTATTCTTCTGCCCAGTTTCTTCTCCATCTGGAACTCCAATTACACACGTTAGACCATTTGATATTGTCCCATAGGTCTTGAATACTCTGTTGTTTCACTCCTTGGTGGAGGCGCAGGGAGTTCAGTTTGAATAATATCTATTGACCCATCTCCAAATTTCCTAATTATTCTTCAGCTATGACAAGTCTACTGATGAACCCATAGAAGATAATTCTTTATCTCTGACCTTGTGTTTTTTTACTTCAATTTTTCTTACATAGTTTCTACGTCTTTGTTGAACTCTTTTCACACATACTACCCATATTTTTAACCAGATTCTTCAACATGTTAATCAGGTAAGTCCCTGTTGCAATAGATCCAATGTCTGAATCATACCTGTATGTGGTTTTGTTCATCGTTGACAAAAAAAATGGGTTGGTTTTTCTTTGTGTATCTTTTTTTTTTTTCTTGATTGCCAGTCAGTGCTTATACAATGATAGCAACGGATAAATAGTAGCAATGCTTGGAAATGGACAAGCCCCTTCTTCTGTAAGGCTCTTGTGTGGGGTTTGGTCTGGTCAGGAACTGAGCTGGGTTTGGGTTTTGTTGTTGCTATGGTTGCCTTCAGTGTCCCACAGCTTTCCCATCCTCCCGCATTATTTTGTGCTTTAAGTTGGAACTGAAGAGCTTTTCTCAGCTGTTCATATTTCATCCTTAGCTTTCAACTGTCCTGCCTTCCTTCACCACAGCGATCAGTCTCTGCCTTTGCTCACCCCCAGCAGCTGATGTTGCTTATCGGCAGCTTGCTAGGTGGGTAGAGGGGGACGGGCCAGTTTTTTTGCTGCTCCTGCTGTTCTGATTCAGCCTCAGTCTATAGCAGGTCCCTTGTGGCCAGGCCTTGGGAACAGCTCTTTTCTTGGGACTGCTGCTCCTCCTCTCTGTGGCAGCCAAACCCCGACTAGTAGGGGCAGCTGGTCTTGTGGAGGAGTTTGCTGGCCTTCCTGTGGTGGCAGGAGACCTTTAATGGAATTGGTATAGAATCCTGGGCCTCATGACTGAATCTTGTCCCTCCCATGGTTGAGGTTTTTTTCGAAACTTGCTCCAGCAGCCTTGAGAGATGGGATTTTGATCCTCCCCTGGTGGCTTAGGGCTTTTTGCTCTTTCTGAGAGACCGGCCTGGGCGGGGTGGGGCTGGGTGTCCTGCCTTCCCTGAAGGGGCAGCAGATGCCCCCCGCATGCCTCTGAAGCGAAGGCTCCGCAGCACCCCAGCACCGCTTCCTGTCCCTGCAGCTCTTTCTTGTGGGCAGCTGGCGGGCGGGTGAGTGCGTGTGGGCTCCTTCAGCGTCTGAAGCTCTCAGGGGTGCATCATCCTGCCACGTTAGCCCGAAGTCGGCCTTTACCGGTTCTTCACTATTTAAATTGATTTCCTCTTACCTGCTCATATGGCAGCCGGCACTTCTTCCTCCCACACTCTGCCACATACAGGGGAACCAGTTTCCATGTCTTATCCCTCTTCAGAGGGGTCTGTCCTTCCTTGAAATTCAGCATATTTGACTGCTCTGCCACATTAGCTCTGTGGCAGCTCCAATAAAATTTATGACTTTTGTCATCTATCCACCCTTTTTTTTTTCACCTCAGACGGGTAATGTGCCAACGTCGTAACAAGGGTTGGTGGGAGGCACAAGTCACACAAAAGCGTGAAGACCCAATCATCACACTTATGAACTACAAAAGGATCCACCCTTACTTTTTAAGGGGGTGAGGGTTGACACTCTGCAGATTTCTACACCACAGGCAGCAGTGGAACTCCTGAATTCCACTCATTTTTAAAAGGAAAATTTGATCACTTCTGTAAATAGGAAATTAGTATCACGTCTAGATGTAGCCTTAACGACAAGTACAAGGAAAATGAAACACTTTTTGGGGGTAAATAGCTACTGTTGTCTGCCAAAGGCTCTGAGCCAGAAGGCTATGTTAAAAAAAAAAAAAAAAAGAGTGTTAGATGTGACAAAAATGAGTGTTGGCATTTAACACTTGGAGTCATTATCTTGTGCAGCTGTCTAGCATCCATAGTGAAATATATTTCACTACTCGTGTCCCTGACCGTAAGAAAATCAGGATAAAGTACAGCAGGCCCCTCCTGTCGGTGTGGGAATACCTTCCAAGACCGCCAGCAGATGCCTGAAACCATGGGTAGTACTGAACACTGTTTTTCCCTATACATACATACCTCCTCCCTTCCAGGAAGCACTTTATGGCTTCTCCTTGGCATATCCTAATTGCCAGCATCATGTGCCTTGTGCTTTGGGGACATGAAGCAAAATTAGGGTGACTTGAACACAAGCACTGCGATACCACAATAGTCAACCTGATAAATGAAACAGCTACCAAGCGTATAGGCGTATACAGGCGTATACAACGTGGATAGCAGGACAAAGGGACGGTTCATGGCCCGGGTGGGATGGAGGAGGACAGCATGAGATTTTATCACACTACTCAGAATAGCTCACAATTAAAAATGTATGAGTTATTTCCAGAACTTTCTATTTAGTATCTTTGGACTACTGTTGACCACAGGTAACTGAAAATTGTGGGATGGGGGTACTACTGTATTGCAACTGTGCAAGTGACTTAGGCGCGGGATTTTGAGTGTGCTCTAGGCAGCCCTGCAAAGAGAATACATGAGAAACAGATGACAAATGGGCCTGGATTTGGCCCTGAAGGAGTTTGTAACCCAGGAAAGGAGCTACGCATACAAAATCCCATCATACAAGAAAGAGGCAAATGCTCCGGAGGGGAACAGTGCTGTGGATGAAGATCATACTTAGAGGGGAGTAAGGGAGAGATGGGAGCCAGAAAGTAATTCTGAAGGTGCAGGGAGAGGGAAGAGTAGCTACGCTGAGAAAACACCAGAACAAGAACACTCAGGCAAGTACGGTATTTAGCTTATGACAAAAGGAGGCATATGTATATTAAAACAGATAAAAGATCAACAGCTATATAAATAAGGAAAAGGATGATAGCATTATTCAACATACTGGCCTACTACTTGCCAGGAATGGGTCTGAGGCTCTGCAGATACAATTTTTAAAAAAAGACAACAATCCCTGGACCGTAGCGCTTATGTTCTAGGATGACATCAACTATCAGATGGAGGGTAAGCGGATAAGGGACTGAGAACTGGCTGTGGACTTAGTAGTGTGGATCATTGGGGATGTGGTAGGGGTATAGGTTCAGGTGAGCCTGGGAGGAGAGGAACTGAGAGGTAGAGTTAGGAGTTTTGCTGTCGAGGGAGTAGAGAAATGGGGTGGCAGCTGGACAGGGCTGTGAGGTCCAAGTTCTTTTTTAAGGTGAGAGCAACCACTAGCCGGCTGCGGGAATCAATGCGGGAGAGGGTGGGAACTGCTGATATCCTCGAACAGGTACGAGGACGGGACTGAGCGCACAAAGTGGCGCGGCTGGCTTTAGACAGGAGCGTGAACATTTCTGTCAAAGGAGGGAAGAGTCATACGAGTACAGATGAAGGTGGTGAGCGGCTACTTGCTGGACCTGGGCCATTTTGTATATTTGAGAGGGTATCTTTGGGAACCATAACTCAGGATAGAAGCTGGTAGAGACCTAACAACATAGCATTTACATAATGGTTCTGAATATGTTTATAAGGAGGTCAAGTAACATCTAAACATACAATGTTACAGTGAACCGATTTGGTGTGAGGTGTTAGCTCATTAAAGAACAGAAGGGAGCACAGCTCAATGATTCTCATATTAACTCTCTTGACTCCACCTGTCTTCTTACTCTGAGCTGTTACCACAGTCAGTCTTCATAAGCAAAACAAAAGACATTCAAGCTTTGTCTGCTTTATTTCACTACATTAAGTTAAGCAATAAGGCAAAACAGGAAATCTGTCATTCATAAAGATCAAGTGCCTCTTATTCCCAAAAGGGACCAAAAAGGATGTTTCTTCACAAATATGCATGACATTTAGCTCATGTCTATAAACACTTTGAACAAAAGTTTTGGTGGGCTAATCAAATCACAAATCCAAATTAACTTCGCCTTAAATTTCCAAAATTGTAGTCTCTCCTAGTGGCCTCTAATTCGCCTGCAGTGGTGCATGATGACTATGCTTTAAAAATCCTGCACGGCATCTTATATACAAAAGTAACAAATAAAATTCCAAATTTACCAGCTGCAGGTGTTGAATCATTTCTACTAACACAAAGAATACCAGCTTGCGCTGAAAACTATCCTGAGGATGTATTAAACCAATGGCCCTGCTGTTCTGCCGGTTAATTTGGCTTCTGAAGGAAATAAATTCTATGATCAAAAGTGATTTTGTGTTTGTGTCACAGGGGGATGATGAGACCCATTAATAAGAGCATTACTTTTGGGAATACCAGCTACGTGCTATAAATGCATGACATACAACCACATGTGTAGTCTATGCAAATATGTAAACTGAAAAAGCTGTTCTCTACTTTGATGCCCTTTCCTCCACAGGAGATTCTAGCAGGTGGTGAAATAAAAATTAACTTGACACTCTGTGGGGTCACAACACATTAAACTATTTCCAGAGTTTGCAAATTTATAATTACACAACCTCTACCCCAACTTTTAAGGGGATAAATCTTATTATTGTTATAATAGTAACACTGCAGCATGTATATTATATTACTCTGTGGAATATTGTTTCTTAAAATTGGCCTTGATCTTTAGAATATGAGGAATATGACTTAGTGTCTTTCAAAGGTTTCCTAAATATTTTTTATCTTCCAGGGGAGCTGACAAGATACAATGTCCTATCTGTATTTCTAGATTGCTACGTATCTTAATTTTTTCTCTTTAAACTAAAGGCTTGAACTTAAAAAAAACACCAGGGTAAACAGGAAATTTCTCTTTTCACCAAAATCTATTGTCCCCTTGCTAACAATGCATTTACAGAAAATGTGGTGCAGCTGGTGGTCTACTCTGTCAAGTCTCATTTTAGAAAACACCACAGAAATTAAGTAAACAACCCAACTCCAGGATATGGCGTGAAAACAGAATGTGTGCTGTTAGGCAAGTGTTCTGGGCTACTTGCTGAGCTATGTTATTTATGGTTTACAATCAATATGGTCTTATTTGACACGTATGATAACAGTCAAACTCAGGAAGGGGAAAGGTTCTTTTTCTTAATATCCAGTTTTGGATTCAAGAGATCATTGTTAATCTCTTCAAATCAATGGAAAGAACATTAGTTCAGATCATGCTCACAACCGAACCTTTACAACGTTTTCTGCATTCCAGGAGTGAACTTGGCCACCAAGTTTTCTTTGGGCTCTTTCCAGGCCCCCAGTACTCAGAACAATCTACTGAGTTACAGAGGCAAAGCGGAGAAGGGGTGGGGAGTCAGACACACACAGACTCCTCCCTGCGGAAGCATTAATCCCTGGATAGTGCCGCAACATTTAGAATAAATAGAATTTGCCACCCCCTTGACATGACATGTAAATGCCTACCTCTCAAATTCTTCTTAGAAAAAAGTTCCATATTCTACTGGGGAAAAAAAAATTTTAAGAGCAACCAATAAAAAAGTATCCTGTGCTCACTCAGAAGAGGGCAAATGAGAGCGCCTTGCCTTAAAAACTACATGGGTTTTCCAATCATCACAAAACTAAGACAATGTGGCAATTCTATTTTTCTGTCAAATGGAATCTACGGCATGATGGGAGCCACAATGGCGAGCGAAAGGATATGTTTAGGCTGCAAGAGTATAGCTAATGGAATGCAGAAAGCACATGGTACATTGAGACCAATGTCGGATCACGACTAGCAGGTCCTCCTTTCAATAATCATTTTAAGTTTCTTCTGTAAGATTATGATCCTCTGTGAGATCAGGTCAGGAGATAGCATGTCGGAGTTTCTCAAGTGTAAACTGAATGCCACTCCAAGGCACAGCCATCCCCTTTCTTAGGATGGAACTGTGCTGTTGTCATTCAACGTGCAGGGTTCAGTGAGGGAGACACAGATAACACTGGCGTGAACAGCAGCGAGAGCAGGAGGAACAGCAGTTCCCCGTGTTCCCAATGCCTGGCCTATGCCCGCCCCGGGGAACAGGATTCAGTAGCGTGTGGGTACATCGTTTTAAACAAGGCCTAATGAAGCAGCGGCTTCCACATTTTAACACGGGTTTGTAGTGATAGTGTCCTTTGGAATCTTCCCACCAGGGACACCTTTTAAGGAAGAAGAGGGCCCAAGCTGAGTTCCACATGCTGAGTGAGCCAGATGACCTCGGTGCCCTGGTCACTTTCTTCGATGGGGCGGATGGGGGCTGCCAGGTTTTTAAAATCATGCTTCATCTTAAAGCACACGGTCACTTCGCCCTCCTCACGTTGTGGGGTCACTTTGATGAAAATACCCACTTTGTTGGCCTTTCTGAAGGCTATGACGCTGCGGAAGGAAACAAGCACAGTATTAGAGCGGTCACAAGGCAGCCACGGCACTAAGACTGACAGTCATTTTATGGCCCAACAGGAAATCTCTGAGGAAAAGATAACCACCATCCCGTTTATCAGCAATGAAGAGTTTCTTCAGCAAAATGTTAATCTCCTTATTTTTTGAATCTTACAGAAGTACAGTACAGTCATACAAATTCAAATGGGAAAAAGTATAAGTCTTTTCCCCTTATTTTTCCCTTCAGCACAAGAGAAAAACTGCAAAAACTTTGGTTCTTAACCTACCAGATATTTTTCTGTGTTTACACTTTTCTGCTTTTTTAACCAACACAAATGGGACACTCTATTCTGCAATTCGGCAACTTGCTTTTTTCCACTCTTTATCACAAACACCTTTCCATATTGGTACATATAGATGTTCTCCATTCTACTTAGTGGTCGCCTAGTACCCTATTCTATATTTACCATGATTGGCATACACTGAGGCTGTTCCCAATGTTCCTCTGTTATAAAAATAAGGGTGCTGCAAAAATCCTTTTATGTTCACCTTTGTGCACATGTGGTAATATTTCTACAGAACATAGACTGACCATAACTCAGAGCTAAAGGAATTTCTGGAATACCATAAATCAATGTTTTTGTAAATAACCTCTGTAAATTAGGAATTTTTAGAATAGAAAAAAATCTCTACTTGAAGCTTCCATTTCACTTTTCTCTGACATGCACTTGAAGTTTGTGCTTTAATAACTTAGCTTCAAAAACTAATGAAAGAAACAGAATAATCTCCTGTCCAAATGATACTCAGTCTCAGAAAAGTTACTGGAATTAAACATTTATATTTTAAGCAGTATTACATAATATTTACAGATCTGTAAAAGTCCTATAAACTTGAAATATAATTAATTCAAATTTATCAATCTGCCATGTAATTAACTGGAATTTGGTATCTCAGATGATCTTTCCAGAAGCTGACCCTGGCTTAACAAATTTATGTACCAAAATACTGTAATTTAAGGACCCACATCAAGCAAAAGATTACAGAGAATGCAGTTTGTTTTGTAGTTAACTAACTAAACCTTTGATTTGTGTCAGTTTCATTTTTTAAAATTCAGTTAAAAATAGTAGAAAGGAAAAAGTCAGTCTATATTTCTATCCTTAATTTCCCAGGCAACCACTGCCATCTGGAAGGCCTTTAAAAATAAATAAATAAATAAATAAATATTTAAAAAAACAGTGCTGGCTGAAATAACAGCAGTGCTGGCTCGTGTGGCTTTATTGGTTGGAGTGTCATCCCATAAACCAAAGGTCAGGGGTTTGATTCCCGGGCAGGCCACATGCCTAAGTTGTGGGTCCAATACCTGGTCGGGATGTATACAAGAGGCAACTGATCGATGTTTCTCTCCTCTCTCTCCTCCCTTTCCCCTTCTCTAAAATCAGTAAGCATATCCTCAGGTGGAGATGAAAAAAAAATAATCAGATTTCTGGTGCTCCCTGCACCCCTGCCTGCCGAAGAGACTCTGGGGTAGAGCCTGGGGCTCTACAGAGCAATGAAACAAAACCACCCACCCACCCTGGTGCTTTCTCACTTAACCCACTTAGTAATCACTGTATTAATCTCACCTTTGCCCTCACTTTATTTTCCCAACCAATCCTATGTTCTCTTTTCTTTCTAATATCTTGCTAAGGGCGCTTTTAATCATTCTGTTACAAAGCCTTAAATGTTCCCTGTGCCAGTATATTAAGCTATTGCTTTTCAGCTCCAAGCCCATCTTCTACGTCTTGCTTTGTGATCCAGGACTGTGCAAAGCACTCTTCTGCTCTGCAGGCTTGCTCCCTGTCAGGTTTGCTTTAGGAGGCTCTAAAGGGAGCCTAGGGCCTGCAGGAGGGAGGGACTTGCTCCTCCCTGTGAGCTTCCTGTTTGTGAGCAGTTCCCATGGGCATCACTCCAGCAACGCCCCTTCACCCAGGAAGTGGCAACAGCCAGCCGCAGTTTTCCGACTCTTGCATAACCAGCTTTCCCATGCACGCCTCTTCTGCCACTCTGAGACGTCAGCGTCTGTCAACCCGAGTCTCTCCTCTGGTCTCTCCACAGGTCTGAATTTCAGCTCCATGAGGCTCTTCCTTTAAGCTTCTCAATTTTAACCAACCTGTTTCCCTTTGTTCCCTCAGTCCTGAGGTGGTAGCTGCTTCATAAAATCACCATCTCTGGGATACTTCAGAGTTCTTTTTAACCTCTGAGGATACCCAGTTAACAATTCTTTAAATTTTCGCTGCTCACCTAATGTGATTTCTGTCTTTAGACTGGATGCTGACTGATACGTTCCTCATTCAGGAAACGGTTTTTTTTTTTACTTTTCAGTTATTACATATGAAAGAGTAAAAATCTATTAATTATTCTAAGAAAGCAGGGTAGCAGTAGACAAATCCAATGATAAATCTATAGTTCCCAACCTGTATTATGTTCACAACCATTATAAATCATGCACTTGAAATTTTTTTTTAACATGGGAAAATATATTTACATGAAAAAACAAACGTTAAAACAATGTGCTTATAGAACGATACCAATGATAAAAGAAATCTATGAAAGGACAAACACCAAAATGTTAATGATGCTTATTCCTGGAGGTTGGGCTTTCTTTTCTTCTTCATGGTTTTACATATAGTTCCCAAATTTCTACAGTAATTATTTTATAAGAAGAAAATTTATTTTTTTAAAACTCCAGATTAAAAAATGGGATTTGTAAGCGGGTCTCCTGTACCAGCCAACTGCGGTGTGTAGATCACAAAAAGATCACTCACTCAGGATCGTCCTGAAAGTCCTGCGGTTCTGCCAACTCGTCATACTCAGCTGCGGCGTCCTTGCCAGCCAACACAAGCTCTTTGGGAGGCACTGCCACCTGGAGAGCAACAGAGAGAGGCTTCCTCAAAAGGGATCAGTGCACTATAGGACATTCATTCAGTAGAACACAGTAAAGTATTACACTGATCTAGACATTCAGAAGTAATTACCATCCATTTTGCCATCTTACTATAATACAATTAGCAAGACTCTAGAAAACATACAGCATTCCATCACTTATATAAAGTTAAAAAACATTGTTAAACAATACAGACATTTCTAGTGAAAATAGAGGGACAAAGAGATGTAAAGGGATGGTAAAGCCAAGCGAGTGCTCACTTCACTGCGGCCGCACTGGGGAATCCAAGCGGGAAGGACACAGGGGCTTTACTGGCCGAGTGGATGTTTTATTTCTTAAGGGGATGGAGGGACACGGGTATTTGTTATATTATTCTTCAAACTCTGTGGTATACTAGAACAGTTCATCATTTTTTAAAAAAAGAAAAACATAAAGGCGAAACATTGGTTCCAACATAGCATTATCTGAAATGGGGATGCTGGGTACGTTCATGGTCTTGGAAAACAGTTACACATTCTTCAGATGTATTCTTATGTTGTAACTAGGCTCCAACTTTGCTGTGTCACAGGTAACAGATAACAATGTCAACCGCATTTCTAATTATGGATACGAATGTGGCTGGGGAGGTATAAAGAGAAATAAAAATAGCAAATCCACAAGCTGGCATTTGCATCAGGCACTTATTTCTGTCTCTTATTATTGGGTCAGCTCAGGGTTATTTAAAAAAAAAAAAAAAAAAGACAAAGGACAGATGCCTGTCATCTCTCTTTGGAAGTAATGCTAATAAGTGAAATAATAAGTCCTCCACTTAAGGACTTAAAGGAAGGAAGCCCTCATAAATAAAGCACAAGGAAGAAGAGAAGAGACAAATTTTCTACTAGTAAGTATGATTTGAATAACAGCTACTTAAAGACAGGGATCCTTTCTACCAATCTTTATTAATGAATATCATGCTGAATTATGAGTAGTAGATGGTCTACAAAGTTCTTGATCTAAAATTTCAAGTACCAAATGAATCACCAAATAGCAAAATGCAGAAAGGCCACATTTCATTCATAAACTGAGAGTCAGTTCCTACTTTAACATTTAGTTAGTGTTATCTATCTTCTCTGTAAGCAGAAGGCATCGAGAGGAGACATACCAGCTTTTAAAGGAGATGGTATTTCCTCGGAGTCTTGAAGAGTGAGTATGCATCAGACTGAGAGACAGGTGTGGGCATGTGTGCCAGGGGAGTGGGGGCAAGAGGGAGGCATTCTAAATAAAACAAAGGGCACATGGAGTCCTCCAGCAGGAAAGTTCACAGTCCACTGGACCTGCCTGGATCACAACCATTACTATGTATGATTTGGAGAATGCTAGATTTCCGGATCTGGGGGAAGATCGCCTGATAGAACGGACAGCGGTGAGGATGTTATGGAGCTCTTCTGCTACGCTAAGCAATTTGAATTTCATCTCAAAGTCAGAGGAAAAACAAATAATCGGCACATAATGATCAAAGTTAGATTTCAGAAAGGCCACCCGGGGGGCAAGACCGATGGATCAGAATGGAAGCGGGGGTGGTCACAAAACGGTGAGGTCCGTTAGGAAGTCACTGTCCAGGCAAGAAATGAGGGGTCCTTCATCTCAGGCAGAGGCAGTGTGTTTGCAGATAAAGTAAAACCTGGAGGCAGACTCAGAACCGATGACTGCTTGGATGTGGGAATGAGAGAGAGCGGGGAGTCCTTAGCCAGGTCACATGAGGCCACTCAGGGTCAGTCAGGGTAAGGCAAACTGCTCCTACCTTAGCAGTGCTGTTTATATTATCGGGGTCCCCCTCGTCGCACTCCAGCAGCGTCACGTGGGTGAGGTTCTCCACGGGATTCGTAAGAGTCAGGAGCACCTGGCTCTCCTGTGCAGCAGGAAAAGCACCTCTCAGACAGGTTCTACTGCTGCCATCCAAGTCCATTTCTCAGCTGCTACACCAAATATCTCACAAAGTCCTCACTCACCTTCCCCGATTACTCCTGAGCAGTAACGCCCACCCATACCGCTCTACCACTGCATTTTCAAAGTGCTCGCTCATTCCTATTCTATTATTTATATTTTATGCCATATATGCTCTAGAGTTGCTATTTCACTGAGGAAATGGGGCAGATCTCATAGAAAAGGACAGTTACTAGATACAGAAATTCTAAGGAATGTATATAATCTAAGTGATTATTTCAAGTTTATAACTCTTGCTCCATCCAGCCCCCGACTTTAAGGCCTAAAAGGCAGGCAGGCCTCATAAATAAAATGTAGGAGCCACAGGCTCTTCAGATTAGTAACACAGAAAAAATGGCACATCAAAGCTATAGAAGACTTTTAAGATTTTTTTGAACCATAGTTTGCCCTTGTTTTGTACTCCCTTGAGATTAGCAAAAAACATCCTTACAATGAACAGAGACTTTATAAATGTCTTCAAGGCACCGTGAAATGAAAGAACTAAAGAGGGTGCTGCAGAATATTCTACAACTCACTGGTGGAAAGGTGGGGGAGGGGTGGGAGGAAGGAGCACAGATTCGGACCTCAAAATAGAGACAAGGTGTGGTAAAGAAATCTAGATCTTTCCTGGTATCTGCTACATAGGCACACACGGGATGATGGAGAAGCGCTAAAGATGCCTGCGGGGTTCAACCTCTTTCTTTTCACCACCCATGATTCCATGTCTCCGTATGTGCACACTGCTCTGCTCACAGATGTTACTGTCAAGAATCCCAGCTTAAAGAAATTTAAACTCTCAATCCCTTCATTATTCCAAACTTACTTCTTTTCTATCCATTGCTTATTGTGTCCCGTGCCAATTACACACAGCCACCCACACACACATGCACACATCTTCGATCAATAAATTCGTTCTTTTCCTATTAATAAAACAAAGTACTAACCTTCATGTGGCGAAGGTTGGGAATCGACATGATTCTCACTTCTGGGATATAATTGCTGTGCATCAATAAAAAAAGCATTAATGGTCACTGGAGTCTCATAAAATTATTACCTTCTTTTTTAGCTAGTGCAGCAAAGAAAAGATTTCTTCATGTTAATTAAAACATGTCAAATAAAAAGAATTTTAGAGAATCATTATCACCACTACAGTAAGAACTTATGACTTTAACCAAACTGGTAAAGAGTTCTTTCTGAAATCTTATTAATACTTCTGGTCTAGAGCCTATATATATGTGTGGGTATCATGGAAGATATCTTCCCTATGTACTTATTATATATATTTTTGAGATTATGATTTAATAACACATTGTAGGAGTATAAAAACCCTACCACCTACTTTTATATAGTACTTACTATGTGCCGGGCCATGTTTTAAGCACTTTACACACATGAACTCACGTACTCTTCACTGCAACTGCATGAGACAGGCATTGTTATTACCCCCCTTATAAAGATGATGCAATCAGGCTCAGGAGGAGGAGCCTGCTGGTAAGCGGCCAGGATTCAGACCCACGCCGTCCGGCTCCGGGGCCCTCGCCCTCACCCGCTGCCATGCTGCCCCTCTAAATGAGACCATAGGGCTGTACTCACAGGTGGTTTTTCTGGACTCACAGCTGTCCAGGTTCAAATTCCAGTTCCGTATTTATATACCAAGATATTCCTTTCTAAAGACCTGGACAAGATGTTTACCTTATTGTGCTTTGGTTTTCTCAATTTTAAAATGAGGACACTAATAGTATCTATCTATATCTTGAGGTTACTGTGAAGAATACATTAAATAATATATGTAAAAGTACTTGGAACAAAGTGCTCATAAGTGTCAGTCATTGTGCATATATTAACATAAGACAAAATCTATTGCGGGGACTCTAAAAGTGGAAGTGAAGGGGAAAGTGAACTTTAAAATAGAGGCAAATAAGGTATTTTAGCTTCAGACTAGATAGCTGTCCATGCTGGTCATCAAGATTATCCCAATAACTTAATACAAACTCAAGGGCCCCTTTACCAAGGATTTGGATTTTGCAGAGCACACATATTACGATTCCCAGGCGATACTGCCATGATGTCAGAAGCAAGCACTTTTCCTCAAAACAAGCTTAGGAGATTAACGCTAGGTACATCCTGCCACTCAGGGTTTCTATCATGAGTGTAATTCTTAATTATGAAAGGCATTCACCCTAGACTTCACATGTACTATTCTTACTGTTTTCTTCCTTGATAACCAACCAGCCATGTATTAAATAATAGGAAGACAGAACATATTTTGCAGTGATTTACAGTTATAAAGCATTTGCAAACATAGTAGCTCACATGATTCTTCTCACAACCCTGAGGGAGGCAGGGCTGGTATTCCCATTTCAGCGACGAGAGAAGTACAGACAAATAGAGTAAGTGACACACCCCATCCCAGGCCCTCTGAGTTCCCTCCTCCTAACTCACCAGAGCAGCACTTCTCAACTTCTGACTGCCAGTGACGTTTTAACTGCTGCATAATATTCTACAGCACTAGTGTCATCTCAGTATCGGCTATTTCTCTGTTAATAGTTGACCATCTTAACATTGAAATTATTTCCAGCTTTTGTCATTCAAATGTTGCAATATACATCCTTATAAATGTATCTTTAGATATTGGTGCTTTTGTTTCTCCAGAATAGATTTTTGAGATGGTACTGCCGGGTTAAAAAGTCTATGTAATCTTGTCTTGATTTTCCAGACCATTGTCCAAAAAGATTAGCAAATACAAGCCTACTATCAACGTATTCAAGCATTTACCCAAAGTGTCACAAGCACCAGATGTTCTTTATTTTTTTAAACTTTTCCTAACAAGTCTCAGCATCCTTCCATATAGTATTTACTGGCCCATTTGGAATTCCTCTTCTGTGAGCTGCCTGTCCAAATCCTTTCCAATTTATGGGAATTCTGCATTTCAGGGTATTAGACTTATTTGTAATGAAAAGGCAAATATTCTTTTCTGTTCTACTGTCTCAGGACTTGGTTGTTGTGGCTTCTGAGCTTCTTGCCTCCCCTAGGACGGACTCTCTCACCCTAAAGTCAAGACAATATTTTCCTAAGTTTTCAAAATATTTTTCTTGTTTGACAGGAGATTTTTCATACACAAAAATACCCTTTCTACTGACAAGTCTCAGTGCGTTAACACTAACTAATCACTTTTATCCTATTTGGTGAAGTGTCATTAGAACACAGTTAAAAGAAAATGAACATTGTTTCAGGGATATTCTTCAATTTGTTATACACACTGCTTATTTATTTATTTTTTTAAGAGATCATTTCCAAACTTTGGTACTTTATAATTTGTAATGAATGATGAGTGACTCTCCACCCAATAACCAACACACCGCATCGTCCTGGACCACACTATCACTGTGTCACTGACACAGACACACCCTGGGTTCTGTCTATAGACTTGCCTTAAATTTCACGGCATATAATTCAAAACCGAAATTGGAACAGAACAGCAAGATTATATGATGTAGGTTTTCCTTTTCTTATTTAAGCCAAGAGTAAGCACATTTCACAATGAGAAAGAATCCCCAAAACAGTAACGAAAAACACCAATCCCAAAATACTCACACAGCAACCAGCTGGATTTTAAATTTGATAGATGTTGGATTAAATTCTGGCTTGCTCAAATTATGTTCACATTTCTAAAAAGAAAAAAATATGTATCAGAGGAAAACAAGAACATACTCTGCTCATCTAGGGAGCTACTAAATTCAGAAGGATACCATTTACTAGAGTTTTATTTTATTTTGCTGCAAGGCTACATATGTTGTGAAATACTGTATGCTACAGATAACCAAAATATACAAAAGATGTTTTTGAACTTTAGGATATAAGCAACCATACTATGAAATACTGTTATACCTTTGCAGTATTTCAAAACTTAATAAAACACATTAAGTGTGAACAATGTAGACTACACTGGTTTCTCTTCTTTCTTGTTTTTTTAATATTGTTTTTTAGTCCTTTTAATTTCCTCTCTACTAGCCTAGAAGGTACACATTCTTGCTTTAAGTAGATTTAAACATCACACAACTTATGAGGTAGGTGTATTATTGTCCCCATTTCACAGATGTTGAAAATAGAGCACTGGAAGAATAAGTAATCTGTGCAACTTCACGCAGCCAGTGAGAACTGGTGCTGGGATTTAAATCCAAGTAGTATGATTCCAGTACCCACACTTTAAAATACACTAGCAATTATTTACTAATTTCTTGAATGGGTACAACATGCACCTGGTTAAAAAAATGTGAACAGTACAAAAAGGTAAAGTGTGTAAAGACACCCAGTACCTGTCCCCTTGTTCCTCTCCCCAGAGCCAATTAGTTTCTCATGTGTTTTCTCCCAGATAGTCCATGCACATAGATCTATATGCATACATCAACTTTTTCACTATAACACAAAAGAGAACATTGTATACGCTCTTCTGCCCTTTGATTTTTTTTAATTTAATCTTTCTTGGAATTCCATACCAGTACACAGAGGTGCCTGTGGATCCTTCTGCAATGATTTCCATAGCTTATTTAACCTGACCCCAACTGATGGATGTTTCCATGATTTTACTATTACAAACAGTGCCACAATAAGTATTTTCACACATCAAATCATTTTTCACATGTGTAAACGTACTGGTAGAATAATTTCTTAAAAGTGAATCAATGGGTATGTGCATTTGTTATTCTGATAGACAATGCCAAATTGTTAACGTCTGCCAACCTGATAATTTAAGAAATGGTGTCTCACTGTAGTTTTAAAGTACACTTCCCTCGTTACTATGTAAGTTTGGGTATATTTCCTATGCATTGGGTTTTTGGAGTTCCTCTGCCTCTGCCATGACTAGTATGTTAGTATCTACTTGTTGTTTTTATACTGAGATATCTTTTCCTTACTGATTTGCTAAAGTTCTTTATTTTTAAAATCTTTACTCCAGGATATATTTACTGATGGGGGGGGCGTAAGGGGAGGGGGAGATAGATAGAGAAAAGAGAGAAAGACATCAATGTGAGAAACTCCAACTGTCTGCCTCCCACGAGGGATCAAACCTGCGACGTAGGTGGGGGTCCTGACCAGGGTGGCACCCGAAACCTTTTGGTGTGCGGGACGATGCTCCAACCAACCATGCCGCCTGCTCAGGGCTGAAGTTTTGTATATACGCTGGATACTAATCCTTTGTGAATTATGTCCTTCACAAATTACTTTCCTTAGTCTATGGTCTTTTTATTTTTTATGGTTTTTCTCTGGAGTGGGCGTACAAGTTTGACTTTTAATGTGTCAAACTTGTGTGATATAAACTTTTTCTTTTATAGTTTATTTGTCTTACTTATGGAATATTCCCTTACCCCAAAGTCATGAAGATATTCTCTTATATTTCCTTCTAGAAGTTTTGCTTTCCATATTTACTCTTTAAAGTTCCCAGAGTTCCTGAAATTTACTTTTGTGTATTGTGTGAGGTAGAGATAAATTTATTTTTCACATAATCATGTGGCTTAGCAAAATTTAATAGGCTATTTCACCCCAATGATCTGCAATGCCCTATTTAGTAAAATCAAGTTTCCTCATATGCGTGAGTCTTCCTGCTTTCTCTGTTATGTTCTAATAGTCTTTTAATCTAACGTGTTTTCTTATTCTTTATGTTTGTATATATGTATATTTTCCCTTCTTTCTTATACAAAGTTGTGTACCTACTGTACAACCTGCTTTTTGCATTTAAAAATATATCCCATATTAGTATGTTCTTTTTTATAGATTTACAGTACACATTGTACGGATGTATGCTAACCTCTGCACATTTTGGTTTGTATTCGTAGAGGTGAATCTGCAGGGCAGACTGCTAGAAGTGAGGCTGTTGGGTCCGTGGGACATACAGCTTATTTATTTTCAGCAGATTCTTGTGATATTTCGTTGTTGGTTTTAGTATTAGGGTAATGCTAGCCTATTAGAATGAGTTAGGAAGCAGTCCCTTTGCTTCTATCTTTTGAAAGAGTTTACAGAGAATTGATAGAATTTCTTCCTTAAATCCTTGGCAGAATTCACCAAGGAATACATCTTGCCATGGTGCTTTCTGTTCTGGAAGGTTATTAACTCAATTTCTTTTATAGATATAGCTCTATTTCTTGAGTGAATTTTGGCAGACTGTGTCTTTTAAGAAATTGGTCCATTTCATCTAAGTTATCAAATTTGTGGGCACAGAGTTGTTCACAGTCTTTAAGTATCCTTTTCATTTCCACGGAACGGAAGTGATGTTCCCTTTTTCAATTGATATAATTGAAAAGCTCTCTCCCTGCTTTTCTTAGGTGGCCTGGCTAGAGGATTCTTTATTGATCTTTTCAAAAACCCAGCTTTTGAAAAGCTGCTTGTTTCACTGCTTTTCTCCAATGATTGCATTTTCAATTTCACTGATTTCTGTTCTAATTCTTATTTCTTTTCCTCTGCTTACTTTGAATTTAATTTGCTCTTCTTTTTGTAGTTTCCTAAGGAAAAAGCTTAGATTTGTGATTTTAGATCTTTCTTCTTTTCTAATATATGCATTCAGTGCTATAAATCCCTCTAACCATTGCTTTTGCCATATCCCACAGATTTTGGTAAGTTGTGTTTTCATTCTCACTTAATTCAAAATATTTTTAAAGCGCTCAAGATTTCTCCTTTGACCTGTGTTATTTAGAAATGTGCTCTTTAATCTCCACGTATTTGGGGATTTTCCAGTCATCTTTCTCTTACTGATTCCTAGTTTAATTCCATTTTGATCTGAGAGCAGACACTCTATGATTTCCATTCGTTTAAATAATTATATTTAGCAATTGATGAGTATGATATAACGGAGTTCGACTTCCTCCTTACTAATTTTTTGCCTGCTAGATCTGTCTTTAAGAGAGGAATGTGGAAGTCTCCAACTATGACAGCCAATTCACCACGCAGTCCTATCAGTTTCTGCCTCGCATAGTTTGACACTCTCTTGTTAGGCACACACAATTAAGAATTGTTATTATCTTAGAGAACTGACCCGTTTTTCTATTAGGTAATGCCCTCCTTTATCCCTTATAACTGTCCATCCTTACTAACCTGATCTGTCTGCAATTACTATGGATACTTTTGCTTTCTTTTGATTAGCGTTAGCATGGTATTATTTTTCTCCACCCATTTACTTTTAATCTATATGTGTCTTTATATTCGAAGTAGGCTTTTCCTTTCTTTTAAAAAAGGTTTTCCATTACAGAAATTTTCTAATATAAGCAGAATAGTATTATAAATCCCTAGGTACCATCATCACCCAGCTTCGATAATTAGCAATTTGTTAGCAACAATGGCCAATCTTCTTTCATCTACATTCTCATCCACACACCCCCCCCCGCTTGATTATTTTGAAACAAGCATCAGACGACATGTGATTTCACCCACAGAAATTTTCATATATATCTCTAAAAGATAAAGATAATTTTTAAAGTAACATTATCTCTAAAACATAAACAATTCTTTTAACAGCATAAAAAATATAGACAGTGTTTAAATTCCCCCAGAGGTTTCATAACTTTTACTTTCCTTCCCTAATCTCCTTCCTTACCTTCCTTCCTTCCTTCTCGAGCCCCCTTCTTTTTTTCTGTTTTGCTTGAATCAGGAATTAGGTAAAGTCCACACACTGTTCGATATGTCTCTTAAGACTCTTCTAATCTCACACTGTGTTATCTGTTAACAGTAGCCACTATTCACAAGTGTGTATTTAAATGAATTAAGATGAAAGATTCAGTTCCTCAGTTGCACTATCACATTTCAAGTGCTCAGCTGTCACATGGGACTAGTAGCAACCACATTGGACTGTGATACTGAATATTTTCATCATCAGAGGAAGTTCTGGGTGGAGAGAACTGATCTAAAAGGTTTCCTAGGTTGTTTTTTTCCCCTTTATTTATTGAAGAAATTCTGATGTTTCTTCTATAGAGTCCCAGAGCCTGGATTTTGCTAATTTTTCTTCTTGATTTTAAATTATTTTTTACTAGTCCTCTTTGTTTCCTCTCTACTAAACTAGCAACTATTCGCTCACTATTCTTTTAGGGGTTAGTACTGTGAACTTAACTTTCAAATACTGAGTTTATATTAAAAGCATTTAAAATACTGCCTGGACACCTATCTATTCTCTATTATTTACTGCATCCCAGAGATTATGATATTAGCCAGATACCAATCTTCTTTACTTTATTTTTGCTTTCCCCTGGTACAAACAGCAACTCTACAGAAGGTAATACTTACCCGGCAGCGCAGGGACCGTTTGATCAGAAGATGTTTGTGACGAGGGTAGAGCTGAGAAGCACAGAGTGGCTGGAAGTCAGGCTGTAAGAGGCGCTGCTGAAGGGTAGTTACTAGCATGAAAGGCAGAAACCAGGCTTAGTTTAGCAACTTACTCAAAATCACTTATATGAAATGATTACATAAAATAACACTGCTTTTGTGAATATTCTTCAAAAAACTACCACACAGAAACTGGACATTTCAAAGTTCTTTAAACAACTACTTCTATTAAATCTATTTTATTTTTTACATGACTCATTTTACTACTAACAACTATGCTAGGAAAAACTTCAAATCACAAGGTATAAAAGTAACAAAAGCAGAATTAGTTGTAAAATATAAACAAAGTAAAATCATGTATAAAATTACCCTCCGTTAAATTTACTGGTCTTGTATAATAGTCTTCAGGTAGAGGTTCCACTTCATCCACAGCTTGAGCTGGCTCAATCTTTATCTCTTTCTGGTCCTCTCCTTCTTTAAGGCTAAAAGAGAAAATGCAGTAATTTCTCATGGGTCCACCTGATTAGCTTTAAAGTCTAAGAGATCAAAAGTTGAAGTATTCTTCTATTACAGAATATTCTTTCTGTTCAGGTCTTTTCTAAGTATGAGAATTTTCTTCACCACTGGCAACTGTTATTTATTTATTTTCTTAAAAATCACATTCCTTCAATACTCGTTTTGATTCGTTTTTTCTTCAAAGGCACTGAATGTCCAAACTTACGAGAGTCCGGCAAGAGTGCTGATGGTTGTACCAGCTCGTGGTCGCTGAAGCCTCGTTCCAAGACCGTATTTGTCCTAAACAGAGTTCAGAAACTCCTCTTAGAAATCCCACCTTTACACAGCCTCCTTATCAAAAGAAAGAATTTTGGGTGGGACAGCATGAGAAGCTCAGGGAAATAAGCAAAAAACAAACAAAACCAAAACAAACTTAATTTGAAAGCTTCCTTTAAAGAGAGGAATTTGTAGCCCCACATCATCTTATTCTTAAAATAATAATAAAAGCACTAAAAGTGGAGACTAAAACTACATTAATATAGTAAAACTGAACATAATGTGATTTTTTTTTTTTTTTAACTATTAACCTGAAAGATCTAAGCTATGGCTTAGATGAGATGTGGAGTGTCTAAGACACATGATCAATGTCTTCTTGGAACACCAGTGACCATCTGCTAACTTCTTCAGGGTTAGCAAGAATCATAAAAGAGAACTTACCACTACATGAATAGTGTGTTGCTGTAGGCCCCAAAATAGCAGCAGGTTGCAACAGAGACAAAAAAATGCAGCATAAGATAGAAGCAAACTCATACAGCAGGCAGCTTATGTGGGAAAGTTGGAAGAATGATGCATTTAATTCAAATCCCTTTCCTAAATACACCAGGGCACATGCTGTTTGTACCACGGGACTATGCAGAAAAACTCACTGAGACTTCATTAAAGTCTTTGGCAAATATAGATGCTTTGTGAATTTTAATGTTTTGTTAAATTCTAGATACTTTTATATGGACCTTACCAATTCTTAGAATTTCGATGGCTTAACTAATTCTCATGCAGAAGCAGTAAGACAAGTTATTTAACCTTTACAAGTCTTATTTCCTCCACTGTAAAATGGGGATATACCATCTATTCCCCAATCCAGTTGTCACAGGTTTTATTATTACAATTAAGTGCTTAGCCTAGTGCTTGACGCATCATTTATTGCTATTCAACAAATGGTATTTATTAAATGCCAACCTGCTTGGCTCCAAGCAAACACACAGAAAACAAACTTCTGTGACAGTAAATAAAACTTGGGGACAACAACAAAAGCTCCAAATCCTTATCTCTTGCTTCTGATTGGTGGCATACAGACCAGTAAAGAATGACTTCCAAAAATACTTCCTATTAAAAATTACACTTGCATATATTACTATTTATTTAACCACGCTAATATACTGTGTCAAGTCAGTGTTTTTTATACAGGAGAAACACAGGCAGGTGCCAAAATTGTAACTAGAGCTGGAAAACCACTTCTGAGTTTCTAATATCCAAAACTCTTAACAGGTCTGTGGTGCCTACAGTTTAAATTCTAGTCTCTTTGAAGAACAATCAGAAGAAAAAGAGGAATGACGGAGAAAGAACCACAAATGTCCTCAGAACTCAAACACAACTAATGATATGGTAAATGCATAACTACTGGACTTGAACATCTCTGATCTGAGGAACCTCTCTGTTAGCCATCCTTCAGAGGCTAGGGACAATGGCCACTTTCTGAAATAGTCACTGTTCTCATGCCACAGAGGTCTTGATCAATGAACTGCAAACTCCTTTTTGTACTAAGTCTGTTCAATGAACTGCAAACTCCTTTTTGTACAAAGTCCTCACCGAAAAAGCCAAAGGCATATAGTTTCGACGTCGTGCCAGTTTCTTGCGATCTCGCTCAACCTTCTCTTTCTGAGCAAGCTGCTGGTAATATTCAATCAATTTGTTCATCTGTAATAAATCAAAGACTCAGAATTCATTTCACGAAAAAGCTAACAGAAAGCATACAAAATTAATCAGCTATACTGACGAGACACATAAAAAACAGAGAGGACAAATTATTAAGGTGGCAGGTTTGCCCTTTTCTTCAAAGAGAATTTATCTCCATTACGTGATCTACTTTGGAATTGAAATGGAACTTTCAAGGTCAACAACAGGAAGAAATGGGCAATGAAAAGGCTTGGAAATGTCATGCTGTCTATTGACTGTTCTTTTACTTCATTACTTATTTCCCCTCACAAATGCTATTTTTTCTGCAAGGCCACAGGACCATCTATTTCTAAGAATGTAATATTTCATACTCTATTTTCTCCCCCATTCCCTCACACATTTTTATAATATATTTTAATCATAAAAACAACATATGTTAATTGTGAAGCATTCAAAAAATATACAAACATAAAAATAAGTGAAACTTCTTTTTCATCTCTCATGCCCAAATCTAATCTGTCCTCACTGAAGGTACCCACTATTAGAGTTTAGATATCCTTCTTACACACTTAAAGGCAAAGGTATGATATTATATTTTTAATACATTTTTTAAAAAACCCATGTATAGACATATAGCTTTATATGCATAAAAATAAATACAGATCTTTTTATTTTCCATACAAGAAAAAAACTGTCCTGGCTGCTGCAGTTCAGTGGACTGAGCACCAGCCTGTGCACCAAAGGGTTGCTGGTTCGATTCCCAGTCAGGGACATGCCTGGGTGGCGGGCTAGGTCCCCAGTTAGGGGCATGCGAGAGGCAACCAATGGCTCACACATCAATGTTTCTCTCCCTCCCCTCCCCCCTCTCTAAAAGTAAATAAATAAAATTTAAAAAAATAAAATAAAAAAGAAGAAAAAGTCTTGTAATGTTCTTTTCCACTGAAAGTATCATAAACTTCCCATCTAGGTCATCTACCTCACTCTTTTTAAAGGCTACATCTTATTACCCAGTACAGATATCCTAGAAGGTATTTAACTGTTTCCTATGATAAGACTTAATGGTCTCCTGGCATCCACTCTTGTCCTCTCAATTCAGGAGAAATTATGTTTTGGAAACACTAATCTGATCCTGCCAGGTCTTTGCTTAAAACCTTTATAGGCTTCACAGACTCCTTACCTTAGTCTCTAAGACCCTACAGGGTCTGACAGCAAATACGCCCCTCTGGTCGCTCGATGCTACGCTCCACTCGTCCCACTCACCTTGCCTACAACTTGCTCTGCTTCTTCCAGTTACAAGCTCCGTGCGTATACTGTTCCCCTGCCCCGAATTCTTTCCCTTCTGTGCCTGCTATCCTCAAAGCTTAGCAACATCCCTAGATACAGATATAACTATCCCTCCAATAAATGTCCACATGGCATAATTTCTCTCCTTCATATTACTTATTTTTTCCTTTACCTGGGGATTATTTGATTTTGTTTTCCCTAGGTGATAGGGACCATGTATTCCTATTGTTCAGGACAGTGTCTGGCACATAGTAAGTTCTCAATAAATATATGATAAATGAATATGTATTTTTGTTCATAGTGTAAATATTTCTGTAGGTCCGATTCTAGGAAGTAGGTACTGCTGAGAGCTCAAGAACTTTGTACTAATTTATACTAACAACAATATATGTAAAAAGGTACAAATTCCCACACTATTCTCCAGGGTACTTTCAGTATTTTAAACTTTTGTTGATGTAATTACTAGATAATAAATTGTTTGATTTGCAATCTGACTGTACATACTTCCTTTCAATAGTATTTCATTATCTTCCTTACATTCTATTTTCAGGGGCAAAAAAACATCAGCGCTAATGTATACTACAGAGATCAAATCTCTATCAACTGTTAAAGGATGCTGCAGTCATGATTCTATAAGCAACCACTACTGAGTCAAAGGGCATCTTCTAAACTAGTGGTGTATCCAGGAGTTAAGATGTCTGTATGCTGATGATACTTCCAAGAGTATCTGAGAACAAAAGGAACCTCAACTTAGTTGGTGGGTATGTGAAAAACAAAAATGTATCATTTCCTTTTTCCAGTCCACAACTTGAGTACACAGCTGAAACTATACCTAGGTTTTTCTATTAACTTAATGGAAAAAACTGCCATTGTGATTTAATGTCTTACATGAAAAACACTTTCTGTGTAATAGACATCAAAATACACACCAAGGGTTTCTAAGCATAGGCCACATGCACTGATAAAATGGAAGACCTTCAGTCCTTCTCTCCACCTTTTCTTGTATCATCCTCTCGCTAATGACCCTGTACTCACCCGCTGAGTGTGAGGATTTTCCGGTTCTTGCCAACCACCACTGGCTGCAAAATACAGGAACATTAAGTAAGAACTTTATAATTTGATAATTTTATTTTCACAACACAGGTCATCTGCAGGCCACAATATAAGACTTAAAAACATAAATTCACAGAACTTCCAAGAAAGAGTCCTAAAATTAGATAGACCAGAATGCTCAGAATAAATCTTTAAATGTAGTAATGGTGGTAATGGTCACCAGCACAACTAACGCATGTGCATCTTCGGTGCCAGGCACTTGAAATGTATTACATTTCATTTTATTCCCGTAATGACCCCGTGAGGTGGGGACTTCCATCACAGGATTAGCCTCATTTGACACATGAGAAAGCAGAGGCTCAGAGAGCTGCACGACTTGCTCAGAGTCACGCTGACCGTAAGTGGGAAAGCCAGGAACCAAACTGTGACTCCGGAGACTCTGCTCTTGTCTGCAACACTGTGCAATTTCTATGTTTTATGATGTTGGTTTGGAAAAATAAGAAAAAAATTTCTGACATGAGAAACAAACAGCACAAATCATCAAGGAAAAGATTATTTATTCCAAAAAGCTAAAAGTAAAACCATAATGAATACTTTCAACAAATGGTGCTGCAACAACTGGGTACCCATATACAAAAATAATGAACCTCCACGCTACCTCGCGACATATACAAATCTTACCCTGAAATGGACAACAGACCTACCTGTAAAAGCTAAAACTACAGTCTTTCTAGAACAAAACACCAGTGAAAACCTTAGTGACCTTGGGTTAGGCTAAGTTTCTTCACTAGGATACAAAAGGCACAAACTGTAAAATAAAAAATTGATAAATTGAACCCCATCAAAATTAGCAGTGTCTTCAAAAGACACTGCTGAGAAAATAAAAAGGTAAGCTACAGGCTGAAATAAAATATCTGCAAATCATATACTGAACAAAGGACTTGTATCCAGAATACACAACTGTTACAACTCAATAAAAAGACAAAAACTCAGTTTAAAAATGGGCAAAGGATATCTACAATCGCTTCACCAAAAAATAAATATATATATAAATACATATATATGGCAAATAAGCACATTAAGAAAATGCTAATTAAAACCACAGTGAGGTGTATCACTACACACTCACTGGTATGGCTAAAATGGAAAAGCACAGCAATACTAAGGGTTGCTGAGGAACTGAAATTCTCCTTACACTGCTGGTGAGGATCCAAAATCGTACAGCCACTTTGGAAAAGAATTTGGCATTTTCTAGTTGTTAAACATACACTCACCCTATGACCCAGCAATTCTACTCCTAGATATTTACACAAGAAAAATGAAAACATGTCCACAGTAAGACTTGTAGACAAATGTTCGTAACAGTTTTATTCATGAGACAAAAACTGGAAAAAATCCACATGTCCATTACTGGAGAAACTATGGTATTGGGTTGGCCAAAAAGTTTGTTTGATTTTTTTCTCCATAAGATGGTTCTAGTTGCACTTAGTTGTCTTTAACTTCATGCGAAACAATCCTGTTAGACTGTACTGTGATAGCTGTCATATCAGTGTGCACTAAGGGGAAAAAACCAGAATCGGAGAATTCTTGCGTATCCGTTTAATATTGAAAATGGAAGAAAATACGCAACATTTTTGGCATATTATGCTTTATTATTTCAAGAAAGGTAAAAAAGCAAAAAAGATTTGTGCAGTGTATGGAGAAGGTACTATGACTGATCGAATGTGTCAAAAGTGGTTTGCAAAGTTTCCTGCTGGAGATTTCTTCACCGGACGATGCTCCACGGCTGGGTAGGCAGTTGATGATGAGAGTGATCAAATCGAGACATTGAGAAAAACCAACATTACACCATGAGGTAGATAGCTGACATACTCAAAATATCCGGGTCAATAAAGTTATTGTTGAAAGTGAAAAATGTGTCTTTCATTTTACAGAAAAAACTTAAATGGACTTTCTGGACAATGCAATACATCCATACAACAGATATACTACTCAACAAAAAAAAGCAAAAACATGGGTGAACCTGAGAAGTATTATGCTAAGTGAAAAAAGACACAAAAGACTACATACTAGAAGACTCCAATTATATAAACTTCTAGAACAGGCAAAATTACAGGGATAGAAAGCATATCAGTGGGCCAAGAGCCAGGAGGTCAGGGAAGAGACTGGCTGCAAAGGGGCCCTGAGAAACTCTTTGGGGTGATGGAATTGTTCTGTAACATGGTTGCAGTGGCAGCTACATGAGCACACATATTTGTCAAAAATCATACAAGTCTACACTTAAAATTGGTGAGCTTTGTTATATGTAAATGATACTTCAATAAAGCTAATAAAAAAAACTGAAAAAATATGCTATAATGAGATACCATTTCACAACTATCAGTCCGGAAAAACAATACTAATAACTGCCAAAGACCTAAAGCAAAGGGTAGTCTACTCCTACACACTGCTAGTGGGAGGAAAAACCAGTAAACCATTTTAGACAGCTAAAGAAGTACACAACTTAAAACCAGCAATTTTACTTTTAGTTATGCAGAGAACCCTCACTCTTGTGACTCAGGAAACACAGACAGGAATGTTCCTAACAGTGCTGTTGTGGAGGGGAAAAAACTGACAACAACCTAAATGTCCATTAAGAGACTGAGTAAGGAAACGGTGATCAGTTGTGCATGAAATCAACTACTATCAATGAATACAATATTGATAGAGAAAAGTTGTAGCAGGACAGACACATGCAGCATGTTTCCATCTGCTGCACACGGAAAAACATTACTGCTAGTGGCTAAACACACAGATGAAGTACAAAGGCATGCATGGACACCGGTAAGTGATGATCGCCTCTCTCTAGGAGGAAGGGCAAGGAGGGTATGGGGAGGGGGCAACACAAGGGCTTTCAACTGCTGGGTTATATTTGCTTTCTTAAGCTGGGGGACAAATACATGAATGTGAATTATTTGTGTAAGTTAAAATAACTTTTTTCAATACCAAAAGGACTCTTGCTGAAGGTGCCACTATACTCCCTTGCAAGAAATGGCAGCAAAAACATTCTTTTGTACATTATTCATATTTTAAAGATTGTCTGCTTAAGGAAACCAGGAAAAATAATTATGCGGAAGAAATGTTTCAGTTGTAGTATCTTTAAAAATCTAAATGTTCTACCTAATTGCTTCTGTAGAACTGGTAATTTACTCTAAAGAGCAATTTGGGAGACAACGATGTCATTGTGAGTTTTTCTCTGCACATTACTGACACAATGGCACACTTAAAAACAAACAGTTCCGACTAAAGTGGTTTCAGAGCTCCTCAGACACCAATGACATCACGGAAGAATGAAATTATCTGTACTCTTTTCAGAGCTCCTGGAACTCAATTATCAGTGTCAAGATACCCTAGAAGAATGAGCTTTCTAGAAGAAAGCACAGGCTTTAAGTTCTAAAATAAAAAATTCTCTAATCCTAATGGCTCCCAATCCAAAAAGCATAAACATTCACTTACAGAGGAACAAATTGAGAAATTTGTTTGGATTTGTAGGCTTTGTTTCTTTAATTTGCTAAAAAGAGACATAATACAAACATGGAAATATACATTTTAACTCACTGAGACATATATTACGCTGCCATTTGAGGGTTTTTTTTTTTTTATGTTTAACTTAAATTCAAACAAATTCAAACAACTCACTTGCTACATTGGAATTAAAACATACACATACAAATATTTACTCAAAATCTAAGAAGCTGCTATGGAGTCATTCTGATATAAATCACATTTCAGGAAATACCTACCCACCAATGAGCATTTTTAAGGAACTAAGATTATGCTTGTTTAATTAACATTTTTTGTTTTTGAAGAATATTTTATCAACTTAATGTACAAAGTCAAAAGAACTGAGAACTCAAGCATTCTAAACCAAGAGGCAAAGTAAACAGAATCAAGGATTAGATTTTTAAGAACAGCGCTGAATCTAAAGAATAGTAACCCATATTTCCGTCCATATTGTGTAAGAATTATCCACGTTCATTTTAGTTATGTCACATGACATAAGTTTGGTATGAGCGTTCTCATATATTAGTAAGCAAAAATCTTTTATTAAAATCCACAAATGGGAATTTTTAATGTCTAAAATGTTTTCAGAAAATTAAATGGAATTCAGAAAGAAAAAAACAATAGTTAGCAACGCTATTTATATAAAAATTAAATGGCAAGTTAAGATTTTGAACTGATTGTATAAAGAGTATTTCTATTCTCTAAAGTATAAGAAATGAAAAAATAAAGGAAGTCTTCACTCTGAAATGCTCAAAAGATGGACAGGTAATTAATGCCTTATGTAGTCTTTAGGTCCAAACACACATAATTTTTCTGTTCCACTGATAAACATTTCATACATAGATATGTACACACACATATTCATATGCATCCATGTATCCTTGAGCATTTGTGTGAATGCTTCAGGATAGATACTGGGGACATGGAATTGCCGGGGAGAATGAAAAAAGCAATTTAAATTTGAACAGACATTGTTAAACTGCTCTTCAAGGTGGTAGTGTATGAAAGAACTATTTCCCCATATTCTTGTCAACACTTATTACCAGATATAAAACATTTTACCAAATCAATGAGGTTTCAATTTGCATTTTCCTGATTAATAGTAAACGTGAACGAACTTTTAATGTGTATTTATTGACTTTTTACAGAAAATACTGCCTCATCAAGTTGTATGTGAAAACAAAAAATCAAATTAACTGGACAATGAAAGCTAAATGAAGAATTCATACACTCAATGCAGGTTCTTTGTTCCCAAAGAACTCATATTAATATGACTTGAAGATACTTGAAAAATTCACATATAAACAATATTAACATCACAAGGCAGTTCATGATATCCAAAGAAACAGTAAAGATAAAAAGAGCTGTCTTCCTTTAGGAAGCCCGGATGACCGTGCCGCCGCTGCGTGCCTTTCCCAAAGGACGGTATTTTGGATGGGAGAAGGAAGTCTGGGCACAGCTGAGGGTCAGGCCAGCCTGCAGAGGGTGGCAGGGTTCTGCTTCTTTGGGTGTTCTAGAGGGGAGGGCTTCTGGGGCAGAAGCCTGCCATTTTTCCAACATTGTGTAGCTTTTGTATCTTTTGTTCTTTTAGTTTGTAAACCAATTCTATAGAAATGAGATAATTAAAAACTAACTGGCGGAAACAATAGGCGAACTCAGGAGTTAAAGATTTTAGCCTTATTTGATCAGCTTAAGTGATTAAAGCTGTAACTAAAGAGTTAAAGCGCTTAGCCTTGATAGGCTTAAGTGACTAATGCAGGCAGAAAGCTGTTATTCCAAAATGGCATAGCTTTTGAATAAAGACTCCTTTATTTAAAAAAAAAAAAAAAGGTCTATAAAATTTGAGAGGAGGGACATGAGAGGGTGAGATGTGAGTTATGACTTCAAAGAAGTTTCAGGTCTTTCCATGGAATGTGCAAGGTTACTTTAAGGGTATGGGGTGAAGACAGATACCATTTTAAGCCTATTATGGCATCTTCAGGGTGCACATTTTGGTTCCTGGCCATTTTTATATGTACTCTGTGAGCTGCTGTTCATGTCTTTTGCCTACTTTTCTATTGAGTCTCCTTCCTATTGATTGATAAGGGTTCCTCATTTTTGGTTATTTATCTTTAGTTTGTTGCATATGATCCGAATATTTTTCTTAATTTTTCACTTTTATTTTTAATTTTGCTCATGGTGTGTTTTGCTATCAGGAACACTTATTTTTCATAAAGAGCATCAATATTTTGAGTTTAAGAAAGTGTCAGATTTATAAAAACTATTTTACCAACTCTAAGAAAACTAGTTAACCTTGTCTTAGATGAAATATCGTCCCTAAGTGTGAGAATTTGGGAATGCAAAAGATTTAATGACAACGTACTTTAAATTTAGCTCCTACTACCCAAAAGGTAACAAATAATACCCTGCGGGCAATTACGGTGCTGCTGATTTCACAAAACCTCCAGGTGAAGTCTATGCCACTCACCCACAGATTTGTCTGCCATGCCCACATCTCTAGATGTCCAGCGACAAAACCCACAGGCCAGGTAATAGGCTTTCTTCATGGTGGTCTTGGCTGGGTCGTCGGGAAGCTGTGTGGAGATGCTTGTTGCGCGGGTGGAGAGCGTGTGCATGCATCCGGGACAGTCAAAGCAATTGGCGCACCTATGACACAAAAAAATACAACAATCCATTTACTCAACAAACATTACCAAGCACCTACTATGCCCCATTGTTCTAGGTATTAGAAATTCAAGAGAGAACTGTAAAGGAGAAGTGTCTCTCAAGCACAAAGAACTAACAAAGTATTCCCGCGACTCTTGCAAACTTTGTTTTAAAATTTCAGAAGTATTATATGTTCATTATTTTTTTAAAAAAAAAGCAATCATCACCAAAGTTCCTGAAGAATTAGAGCCTGACCAAGTCCTACTCCACTGAGGGCATCAGTGTTAACAATTTGCAGTTAACTATTTTCAGACTCTCTTTATGCTTCTACAGAACACAAAGAGATCTGAGGAAAGCAGAAATGTCACAGCTTGTACCTTGAGAGACAACAGACCAATTGCACAATGGAAAACTGAGAGGTAACAATGCAATGATCTGTGAAATTGGTTTGGAAAATAACTGCTTATTTGCTGTGCCAGCGAGCTGAAAGAGATACCAAACAATGCTATCAAACTGGAATGGTTCCGAAGTGCTGCATTTTCCAGGCTTTCTGGCACTATCCTCCTCGTGCTCGGCCAACATTTCCTCTTCAGGAGCCCTTGTACCTTGTTGTTTTAAAATTTTCCACCACCTGAGATGAGCAAGATTCACGGCCAGTCCTGGACTTGGTCTGAAGTTCCATTCCATCACACCAATTAGCTGCAACATTTTGCCGTCTGGATATCCTCAAATAAGGATAATAAGAGTATCCACCGCACAGGGATATTTTCAGGATTAAATGATAAAAATTAATGTGGGAACAGTATACAAACTATATGGCTTATCAGAAAGTATTTCTCAGAGACCGGAAAGGCAAATAATAATGGTTCATATCCACTGGGGAGTGGGAGTATGATGGCAAAGGAGTTTCACATCGAGTGAAAAACCAAACAGCACGCAGGAGCAATGAGCACACCTGCTACCCAGGTCTTGGTTTTTAATACCATTTTCCAATAAAAGAAACCAAAGCTTCCTGGAAAAATGGTTCATTCTAGGATTGAGGCAGAAAATATACCGGACGAGCCTAGAAAATCTTGTAGTACTGGAAAGAAAGTGCTCTAAAGAATAAACAAACAACCCCCACACACAACAACTGGAGTAAGTCAAAGGGGTACAGGAGTCTACTGACAGAGTTCCCAATGGCCAAAGGTGGGCCACTTTGGGCAAATAAGAAAAGTAGTACTGGATTATAATCTAAAGTATAAAATAAATATCCATGAGCCGGTTCTGCTTTAAGTCAATGGTTAAATAAATAAATGAGGGAGAAGAGAAAAATCTTCCATGTAAAATAATTCCAAATAATTTATGTAAATAGCCCTCACAGAGGGGAAGCATAACTCCTCACTATTTAAGTGTGGGCTGTTGATAGGGATTTCCTTTTAAAGAGTATAGCCTGAGAAAGGAGGAGGAAAAAAGAGTAACTTTACATGGGAGAAACCTGACAAGCACTAGCTAAAGCCAAATAATCAAGGTTAACATCAACAGTGACAGTCATACTGATAGTATGTTCCCTTGATATGTTGAGAGATGCACTTTACCTCTGTGGTCCTCCCCCCCAAAACATATTCTCCTAGCTGATGAGAAAAACATCAGAAAAATTCCAACTGACATTCTACAATACATCTGACCATTACTCCTCAAAACTTTCAAGGTCATCAAAACCAAGAAAAGTCTAAGAGAATGTCAGGAGCCCAGGGAGACATAACTATTAAATAAAATGTGAATATCCTGAATAGGACACTGGGAAAGAAAATGGAGATTAGGGGAAAAAATAAAGAAATCTGAATAAAATGTGTTGCTTTTTAATAATAATGTACCAGTACTGTTCATTAATGAGACAAATATACCACGCTAATGTATGACGTTAACAACTGGGGGGGCCCTGGCCGGGCAGCTCAGTGGGTCAGTGTCCTCCCAATACAGCAAGGTCATGAATTCAATCCCTGGTCAGGGTGCATACCAAGAATCAACCAATGAATGCAGAAATAAATGGAACAAATTGCTGTTTCTCTTTTCACCCTCCCTCCCTCCCTTTCTCCCTGCCCCTCTGCCTCCCTCAAATAAATTTTAAAAAATAGGGGAGACTGGGTATGGGGTAAATGGGAATTCTTTGTATCATCTTCACAATAATTCTTAAGTCTGAAACTGTTCTAAAATGGGACGTTTATTTAAAGGGTCAAAGGACATTTTATCTTTTGCAAAGGTGATGCAAAAAGAAAAAGAAAAAAAGCTAGTTAAAAAATAAAAGTTTATTCCATGTGTTTTCTTACCAGCTACTACAAAAATTGTTGAGGAAAACAAAAAATGAATCCCGGTCTTACCTGTTCTTTTTTAGTTTGGCTTCCGCTGATGGCATATTTTCTAAGCAACTGGGACAATAGTGGGAGTCCACCTAGAAAGAAACAAGAAATTTAAAAAATCAGAGGAAAAGAAACTCAGCTTAGCTGGTGTATATGTCTCTGCCAGAAGAGTAAAATTTAAACTACGTTATACTGAAGCAGAAGGGGAGAAACCGCTGATCTGGCAAAGGACCTAAATTATTTTCATCTTAGGGTTTATTCCTTAATCACCTGTTTGTTTTAATCATCCAGACTGCCTAAACCCTTCTATTTTTCCTTTCTGATCTTTCCTTTTCCCTTCCATCAGGATTTTATGAATTAGATTTGTTAAAAATTATCTATGTAAAAGAAGAACTCTATAATAACCTGAAGAATATATTAATAAATAAAATAAGCTAATTTGTAAAGCTGTGATCAAATATTCTTCTTATCTAGTTTAGCTTTATTGGATTGTAGTGATTTGACCACACTTAAATTGTGAGACTTAAAAAGTTTTCTCATTCTGAAGCAGTACATGTTCACTGAAGAACAGTTATAAATTATAATTTACAAAGTCAGCTATAGTCAACCAATCAGAGATATTTAAATGGAAAATTAAACTAAGCTAAACTACTATTGTATTTAACTCAAAACACAATACAAAAATTAAATTCATTGTATTTTGTAAGGTCTGAATAATTACTTGGTTAAATGTAAATAGATCCTATTTGACAATTCTAGAATTCTAGTCCCCTGCATATGGAAAGACAAAGTCACTCAATAAATACTATGATAAAAACTGGCTTCTTTTTTCATCATCTGCTATGAACAGGACCATCTTTGAAAATGTTAATAAAATTACAGCTCAAAAATCTCCCAAAACATAAAACAGAATATCACTAACTAGTATTTGCACTGACTCATCATAAAAAGGCAAAATATAAATGATTCCTGTGTGTCCCTTTCCAAATTACGCTTGTCCCTTCACATGCAGCTCGAAACCAGGCTCTCCATGAGAGCTCCCTGGACTGCTCCAGCCCTCCCCAGTCTCATCCTTTCCCAAGCCCTAACGGCCTCTATCTCACAGGTGCACACCAGTCTGTAAAGATGCAGCTACTGACTCAATGTCCTAACTGGACATCCTTAGAGGGCAGGAAGGCTCAGCTCCCTAATCACCACCAAATGAGAATCTAGTCCAACAAATTGTAAGGGTGGAGCTGGAACAAGTAAGCATCTAAAAGAGAAAGGACCTGCCAAGGAGATACACAGATACACTTGCGCACATAAACACACACAAAGTGTTCATGGAGAAAAAAAATCCCTGAAAAATCAATGTCATATTACACATATATAGCATTTATTTTTCTTCTATTATTTAAATGCCTCCCCTCACGATTCTTAATGCTGTGAAAAATATCCCCAGTAAAATATTGATACTATGTAAAGTGGCTTGTAATATAAGCAATGTTTTTCATATGCATTTTTTAACAGCCCAGGGATCTTCACTAAAGTTCTGAGTCAGTCTGCTCGTTTTCAAATCCTGGCTCTCCCTCTGACCCCCAAATGTCTGGCTCTGTGGCCTAGGGAAAACATTTTATGTCCATTTCTTTACCTGTCAAATGATTTTCTTTTTATAAAAGGTACCCACTCCACTGGGTTGCAGGAAGATTAAAGGAGATTATGTAAAGTATAAGGCATATAGAAAGTACTGAATTAACTGTATCTATTATTACTATCAGCTTTTTCTTCATGAGACTGTGAGCTATTCAAGCGCAGGATTATGTCTTGCTCATCTTTTAATTCCCAAAGTTTACTGAACGAACGAGATGTGCCAAGCGCTGCAGAAGTTTTGGCTTTAGTGACCTGGTGATTTTTTTACGGGGCGGGGTCTTTTACCTTATGAGCAATCTCACCACCAATGCCTATTTGTTGCGAAGGACGACAGCCCCCCCCTACCCTCAGGGGACGCACCATGAACAGAACACTCAGCTTCTTACACGACTTGCCCTGTTGTAAACGTTTTTGGCTCCGCTCACCCCATCCCAACCTCTTCCCTGCTGCAGGCCATGGCCTGAGCCAGGACAGAGTCTGAGCAGGGCCTAGTTTCGGGACAAAGTAGAGGCAGAACTTCCAGAATGGGAGGGGCATGAATGACAATGCTTGCGTCCATTCCACGCAAATCAATCGTGCAAGGACGGCATCTCGCCCCTCAAGTGGCGTGAATTAAGCACGCCCACGCCTTTTTCTTTCCGACCCACCCCATTATCAAACCCCCCCTAAGATAGCCAGGATTCCCAAAGTCAAGTTTGTCCAATCCAAGGGTGCCTTGGAACCAGAAGATCCGCTCAGCCCCACCCAAGGCCGCTCCTCCTTTTCAAGTGACAAATGACAAGCAAATTAAAGCTCAAGCAAATCTGAGTGACGGGAAACAGGCCAATCAGCACGTTGGGAGAACCGCCCCGTCCGACGCGGTGACTAATATGAACGCCTCTTCCCCTCCCCCAACACACATAGCCTTTGCGAGAAGACTGCGTTACCTCGTGAGACACACATTCCAACGACCGCAGCTCGCTACAATAGCGGCAGAAGTACAGCTGCGAGAGAGGGGCCCGAACCTTCTTTTCTCCCTGGACTAGGTAGAGAACCCGCTCCGATTGCAGCAAGGACGCCATCTTGGAGAGGGAGGTGTCAACGACGCGCCTGCCGCATCACGTGACCCGAGAGCCTGCGTTTTCCTCGCCGCCCGCCCTACGTTTTTCAACGTAGACTTTGACGTAAGGTTTCCGACCCAGTGGGGCTTTGCGCCCGCCAGAAACCAAATGCGCGTGCGCAGCAGGGATCCCCGGTTTCTCCCCTATCTTAGGTCCGCCCCCCTCCTTATTTTAGTTAGTGTCACCAACCTGTATGGGACAGACTTTCCGGTCGTTAAGCACAGGATCGCAAATCAAATCCAGATAAGCTCAGTGCTCATCTTTTTTCTTCCAGGAGGAAGGTTGCTCCTTCGGTTTATTTACAACTGCCTCTCCTGCCCTCATCTTCTAGGAAAACATCCCGAAAGTGGATGGAAGGTTTCAGGGACGGAGTTCCATGGGGACTGGAAAGCTGAGCGTCATACCAGCACTTTTTTCTGGTAGTCTTGCCATTAGCCCGTAGGAAACGTTCTCAGACGTTATCGCATGATGATATAGTAGGCAGTTAGACACAAGAAGAGTAAGAATAGACTAGGTACAGGTGGAAAGCACCAGGGGCCTAGCAATGGCAAAATTGGGGTGGGACCTAACCCCCAGGGTGACCTTTCCTCCTCTAGCATACCTCTAGTCATGTGGTGTAAACCCCCCTGACCTTTATCTGCTGCTGGTGCAGCTCAGACCCTCCCCTGACTTTTCCTCCCCTGGCATCTGGTTAGTCATGTGGTAAATCCCCACAGCACCCGTTAGAGGAGAAACCAGGGGCACCTGAGAATAGCCTCAAGGGACTCCTGTACAAGCCCTTGCACGACCACTTACTTAAACTTTAAACCTTAGAGATAACATCTAGGCCTCAGCTATGTCTCAATTCTGGGCCTAGAAACAGCAAAACCAGGCAGGGTGATGCACGGCTGACATCAGGACCAGCCTCCATTCGCACTGACTAAAGATTCTCTGCCCTGGGGCCCACCAATCAGTAAAGACAATGACTCTGAAAGGACACACCTGGAAAGCTGGTGAATATTCTATTATAATCCTCCCCTGAGACCTCCAGTTAAACACCCTTCAGACAGCCCTTAAGACAAAGGATTCGTCCCATTGTTTTTTCTCTCTAGCAGGCACACGCCTTTCCTCCCCCTTTCTTCTTTGTCCTAAGCTCCAAGAGCCTTTCTTTTGCCTCTTAACTTGCTTCCTGAGCCCAGCAGTCTAGCTCACGTCTTCTACCTCTGTGACTTTCTAAATGACCTTTTGCTTGTATTTGATTCTTGGCTCTGAATTCTTTTTTAACCAAACTCAAAGACCCAAGTCTAACATCTGGTGCCATTTTGCCATTAACAATTTGAAATTTCTTAGACCGTGCGTTCTTCCACACAGAGGCCACATCTCTCTCATTTACAGGTTTCTAGTACTAGCATTAGGGTTAAGTCTGTACAGCAAACCCCTTATCTGCAGTTTCACTTTCTGTGTTTCAAATGTCAGAAAATACAGAGTGGAAAATTCTAGAACTAAGCAATTCATAAGTTTTAAATCATATGCTGTTCTGAGTAATGAGATGTAATCTTGTTGTGTCCTACTCTATCCTGCCCAGGGAACGAATCATCTCTTTGCCTAGTGTATGCATGCCATATATGCTACCAGCCCGTTAGTGACTTAGTAGTCACTTAGACTTGGTCTGGTGTATTTCACGTAGCATAATGTCCTTTAGCTTCTTCCATGTTGCTGCAAATGGCAGAATTTCCTTTTTTGATTTTTAACCTGAATGAGATTCCACTGCTCAGTGACCAGCAGTCACTAGTAGCACAACCCCATTGTGTAGGCAGTGACTAGCAGGGTCCCTGAACAGCAGCAATGCTAAAACACTGGCAGGGAAGGCAGGCGTTGGGAGCAGAGGGAGCAAGAGGGAACACAGGAGGACACCTGACTTGGTTTCCAAGGTGCACAGTGCCAGCCTGTTTCAGTGGTGCTTGCAGGCTTTGCAAAAACAGACAGCAGCCATGGGTTGGAGTTTGTTGATACCTGCTGTGGTATCCTGATGTAGTAGACTAGATGACTTAGAATCATCATGTATTAGAAAGATCCTAGTTCAATCCCTGTATTTTTCAGATGGAGAAAATGAGGCCCAGGGAGTCAAAGGAAAACGTCCACAGGTTTTCTGACTCTTGGTACCATATGCTGTTCTCTGATTCCATAAATGCAGTTGCCTGCACGCCACGTCAGTCAATTCATACCCACAACCAAGTAAGAGATTTGTTGCTCTTTTAACAACACTTAAAAAGAAAAGAAAGCAAATGCAAGGGAAAGTGGGAGGCTCATGGATAGCCTATTCAATATGCCCTGGACATTCGCTGGAATTGCATCATTCCCATTCTGGGCACATGCATTTCACATCTCTGGAATGCTCTCCTCGTGGCTTCAATGAGAATTTCTCGAGCATACCTCACACCTAACCAAAACTTGCCCTCTTCACACTCCCTTCTCTGTGCTTAGTAGGCTAACCAGAAGCTAACGTCAATTCTGTGCACCACGGAACACTTCCTCTGCTGAGGATGCAGACACATGAGCTGGGCACCCTACTTTGGCTGAAGGATACACAGCCAAAACCAAAAAGGATGACCTTGAGTTAACCACTTCAGCTGTCACCCAATGACTACTCATGCTTAAGGAAGACCTCTGGCCCCAAAGGTGTTGGCTCATAAGAAACAGCTCATAGGCATACACTGTTCCATTTATCTTGTCCTCTTGCGTGTTTGCCCATTCACCCCTGGGAATTCACAATGATTCAAGAGGCCATAACTCTCAGTGAAATAAGGGTAAAATCATCAAACAGTAGAGCCAGAAGAAATCTTAGAGGTTAACTAGTACACTCCCTTTATTTTAGAGAAGGAAAACTGAAAGGGGAAGGGACTTACCCAAGGCGACCAAGGAAGGTGATCTAGGATTTGAACTCGGGTCTTCATTTCAAGTTCACTGCCTTCACAGACTTGGCCGGATCTCCATCTCGACACAATTCACCACCAAACCTCAAGGCTCACTCTTAGGAGACCACCAGTGTAATGCTTATTGAACTGAAAAAAATAGAACTGAAGACTGAATTCCTATTAACTCAGTAGCTGACAAAGAGCAGTATTTGTTGAATCGATGAACTGCCATCTTCATCTCTTTGAAACTTACTGGCAGATAAGATAGTAAATGAATTATTTTTTTTCTTTGTGATTTTTTAGCAGTGCTTTCTTTTAGAAGGTAAAGGAAGAAACAAAGGAAGGGACACAGATCACACAAGTTTACATAGGAAGCTCAGGGTAGGCCTTGTGAAAAGGTAAGATTTGAGTAAAGATTTGAAGGAGGTGGGGAAAGGGTCTAGTGGCTATCTGGGGGAGGAGCCTTTCAGGCAGAGGCTGAGCAAAGTCTCTAAGGCCTAACTAAGGAACAGCAAAGAGTCATGCGCCAGGGAGGCCCTTTATGGACTAGGGGATAATCCATTTCATGGTTTGGCTGAATTCAGCCACTGGGAGTTTATTTACTCAGAAGATATCAAGGTTGTTTCTTCTCCCAGAGGTCAAAATCAAAACATCATGGAAGGAAGGCGATGAATCTAACTTGTTGAGTCTCTAGTTTACTTTGTTCAAGTCACAAAGCATTCTGATTGCCACACAGGAAAGCATATTTCACAAGAGGCTCAGAGAAAGAGCCAGTGGGTTGCTAAACACATTAATCACACATGAATCACGTGATTAGAGCTCCAGCTCTGAGGGAAAAGGAGAAATTAATGTGGGAGAGAGCTAGCCCATTTGGAATGGTACCAAAGACTCCTACAAATAAGCTTTGCCCCTTGCTGTGAAGGCAAAATGAGTTAATAGAAGTTAATGTGGGTAGAGCATAAACCATCATAAGTTGGCTACGTATCTGTTATTAGGCCAGAGTTCAGTCCAATCTCCTTATTTACAAGTGGGAAAACAGGTTCAGAGAGAGGAAGTGGTTCCTCTGAAGTTACAGCGGCTCTCCAGCCTACTTAAAGGGCACGCAATTGGTTTCTTTTACTATGTTTGGATGATTGGGCTTTCTAGTCTTGCCCATGCTCCCATCTTGGGTGCCTCTTACAATTCATTTCTGGGACGCTCTTTTAAACTTTGAGCTGCCGGTGCCTCATCTAAGAATATTTGTGCCCTCACGGGGAAGTTCAATGGGATGTTCTGTTACGCTCGAACACCTGTGGAAAACAGCCTCCAAATTGGCCCTCAGTGGTGTCCATAGCCTCATGTACTCCCCTTCCACATCGTACCGGGTTGTGACCAACAGCATACAACAGAAGTAGCAAGTTGACACTTCTGAGATGAGATTATAAAAGATGTGGGGTCTGTGCTGGGTGCTTTCTTGGATCGCTTGTTTGGGAAAAGCAAGCCGCTGGCTTGTGAGCAGCCCTGTGGCCACGTGGCAGGGGACTAAAGGCTCCAGCCCGCAGCCAGTGAGGACTGAGGTCTGCCATCAACTAGTACATGAGCTTGGAAGCGGAGTCTCCAGTTGCAGTCAAGTATTGAGGCGACTACGACCCAGCCGGCAGCCCGTCTGCGATCTCCTGAGAGACCCTGAACCAGAACCACCTGGCTAAGCAGCCCCTGGACTCCTGAACCTCAGAAACTGAGAAAATCAATGTTTGTTTTAAGCCACCAAATTTTGAGATACTTCATTACACAGCAAAAGATAACCAACGTCCCCACCTTCCCTGACCAGTTAGGCCCCGGTGCCCGGTGTGCATCTCTGCTCCCTCCACCAATCCCATCATCCCTGTGAGCTCTCTCCACCTACTCTTGTTACCAACTACCTGAGGCCAAATCCAGAAGCCCTCAACCCTGCCGAATCACTGTGATACCAATAGGGGCCGGCAGTGGGCTAAAATCGGAACCTGAGAAAGGTTTAATAAAGGGACTATTTGCAGAATAGTGAGTGGGGTGGAGGGTGATCACAAGGAACACGGCAGTACCCCAGGCCTAGTGAAGGTGAGGTGCTGTTTATGGCCTGAAAGAGTAATGAGAGGGAGCAGGAGACGGGAGCTGGACCTTTGGCTCCAGGACAGAGCCAGGCATTGGTCACCCCTGGGGGGAGGGTAGAATGTAAAATACCACCCTCCCCCTCCTTGCGGGTACTTCCCTCTTAGCCGAACCCAACAGGAAGCCAGCCATTGAGGAAGTCTATTTGAGTTTGGGGGTTGCTCAGAAGCAGACTATGGGATGAGGGTTTAAGTGAAAGTCTAAGTGAAAATTTATTTGAGAGATTCAAGGTGCACCAGTGGAGGAGTAAGGGAGTGATACAGGGAAGAGAAGGCGGCCAATAAGATTGTGTTATTAAGCCAGTTATAATAGGGATGTGGTCCCACAGAGAAACGCTGGGAACTAATGCAAACACACACCCCAGGATCATTCCACCAAAGGGCGAGGGAGTTGGGGCATTTATGCCTCTGAAGTCTGATCGAGGGCTGCACCTGGGATTGGGTTATTTATTGCTTTTGGATTGCCGGGCTGGCAGACTGGGCTTCCCGTGACTTGGGGCCAGCCCTCAGACACAGAGATGCGGCTACTGGCAGCTGGAATTCTGGGGAGAACTGAAGTGCGCAAGGTGTGTGGAACCTGGGCGGGACGTTGCAGTGCCTGGTGCAGAGCTCTCGAGGTGGGCTGGGAGTGGTTCCTCGTCCTGTGCACCACAGGATGGAGAAGTGTGTGCAGGGTGCATCTGGAGGGACAAATCAAATGTACATGCATATTTAAAGTAACAAATATTATTTACCAACACTCTAGAATTTCATATCACTGTTTAGGTGTCAAACCAATTTTTCCTTTTGATTCTCCCAGTTATTGTACTCTATCGTCTATCACAGTCATGCATCTAATGGTTTGCTTGTGCCTCTGTATATTGCATGTGCACTAGCTAAGGCAGGAATCACCCCATTTCATAGAGTAGAAGACAGAGGCACAGAGGGGACTTGGTTCAGCAAGAGTTAGCTAGGTGTAGAACATTTAGAATCAGTTCTGCCACTTACTGGCTAATCTTAGAAGAAGTTAACTGCTCTTCTTTGGGCCTCTGTGTTCTCATGTGTAAAATGGGGGTCAATAATCTTTTCACTATAGAATTGTTGCAAGGACTAAACGGTATGATATATGTAAAACACTTGCTACATGGTAAGTGCTCAAGAAGTGTTCTTCAAGAAAATCATCTTTTTTGAACCCTAACAGGTGTGGCTCAGTTGGTCGGAGCTTAGTCCTAACTGAAAGGCTGTAGGTTTGATTCCCAGTCAGAGCACATACCTAGGTTGGGGCTTGATCCCCAGTCCCGCGTGCAGGAGACATCAAGTTGATGTTTCTCTCTCGCATCAATGTTTCTCTCTCTCCCTTCCTCTCTCTCTAAAAGCAATGAAAAAAATGTCCTTGGATGAGGATTTAAAAAATTTTTTTAAATAGTCTTTTTTGGAAAAAAAATAAAGGCAAAGGCTTGTATATACAGACTGGGGCAAAAGTAGGTTTACAGTTGTGAGTATGCAAAACACTGAGTTTATTCTTGTATTATTATTTATTAATTACTGTACTATTTTCCATATAAACAACTGTAAATCTACTTTTGCCCCACTCTGTATATTTTTTCTTGAGACCATATTTACTTCAAAAATGAGACTGACTGGACCAAGGGTATCTGCCAGTAATAGGCGTTTTTTTCTCTCTCAGATACATGACTGTGTAATAATTGAACACTTTGGAATTAAGCCATGAGAATTGATTCAAATAATTATAACTCCACTAACGAGACCACGTGACTTTCGCTCCACTTCAAAGCTACAAAATGTAACCCTTCCATTTCCTTTTCTTTCCTGTCTGCTCAGTTTGTTTTATCTCAAATTCCACATGTCTGGAAAATTCCAGCATTTTTACCTCCTTGCCAAATCATTCATTAGCTCAATGAGGTGTTTCAGCTATAAGTTTAAGAGGTGTAATTGAAATAAAAATTCCTGCATCCGTTTTCAGACTAAATGCATATTTCTTTTGAGAGTTAGCAAGCAAAGAGTATGGCTCCCCCCAAAGAGTTACAGGCATTTTGCCCACGGATCTATAGAGCAAAAAGAACTTGGGAATTTTTCCAGGGGAAAAGAGGAAAGGAGGGAGAGAGAAAAGGGGAATCTCAGGAGCCATTGTGCCCAGTGCCTGACTTGCTGGAAAGAAGTGAGTTGCTTACAGGTCTGTAAGGAGGGAGCAGGTATCTCAGCCAGGACGTGTCCATGAGTGGAACAAGATGGCTCACCCCACACAAGATATGCTTTTAACTCAAAACGGTAATAATCTTAAGGTCCTTGAACCTTAGCTGTGAAAGCATTTTGGAAGTGCAATTGACTTCAAAGAATATCTACTCCAACTTCCTTCTTTCACTTTTGGGATCAAAAGACCTAGGGAGGAGGAAGGCCACGTGGCAAACTAGTGATAGAGCCAGGACAAGAAGCCACGGTTTAATGCTATTTGGTGCCAGCTTAGGGCCCTTTACATTGTCCCATGGCGCACCCACTCCTCTCTGTCTCTGCAGACCTCCACCTTTTCAAAAGAATCCTCTGCCACGTCTCTCTGCTTGTATACCTCCGTGTTAGGGAGGTCCCGACATCTAGGAAGGTCCACCCTCTTCCATTTTCTGGCAGCTCTCTTCAATGGTTTTTTAGAGCAAACTAAGACCTGCTTCTTCTCAACTGACACTCTGGTTCTAGATCGGCCTTCCACTTGGCTCCCTCTGCCCAAGAACATACCTCAGAGGTTTGCTTAGAGTCCCCACGGCTACCATGACTCCCCCCTCCCCCCCAATCTCTAGACCAAACAGCTTGGTTTCCTGCAATTCTGTCTTTTTCAGTCAGTTTCCGAAGCCGAGAGGATGTTTTTTTCATCTAGACCGACAATCACCTAGTTAAGGTTCTCTTCAGACTGCAGTGGCCAGGAGGGAACACAACTGTGACAGTTAATTTTATGTGTCAATTTGGCTGGGCCTTGGAACCCAGATACAAACATATCTTGGTGTTGCTGTGACGCTGCTTTTTAGATAAGACTGACATTTGAATAAGTAGACTTTGAGTAAAAGAGATTACTCTCTGT